GCGGCTATTACACCATCCGTTCTCCTAGTACGCATTGCCACCAAATGGATCTCCTGATCACCAAAAGGCACCACAGCAGTCTGCAAAAAAAAAATCATAAGAATTTAATACTACAAGTAATTAATGTACCCAATGCCTAATCCAGAATTACAATTCATCTGACGCAAAACCATGAATCTCTACACCATTCCAGTTCACTTCACTAAAACCATAGCATCTGACCACAAAAGAATTGAACCCACAAATTAGGTTTTTGTTTTTTTTCTTATCATTTTCCTCATAAACACTATCAAAGAACACGAGTTATTTTTCATTTCTCCAGTTATTTCAAAGGTTCAATCTTTTTAATCCCAATTACAACTTATTTTTCATTCTTTTCGTTTCTTCAATTTAACATGAACCAAAATACTAAACGCAAGTCCAAATGTATTCAATCCAGAGTCAAATCAAAATATACATCATAATCCAAATTAGTACAGTTGTTCAGATAAAATGGCAATCACTTTAACTAATTATAATCAAAATGGACAGCCAACCCAACCAAAAATAAATTTCCTACATTCCAAATTCCAAATTATATATCCCACAAGTCCAGTTATTATTATCATTATAATTAATAATCCGAATTCATTCGTGTTTCGGTTCAATTCGCGGTAATCAATCGATTCGAGTCATAAGTTGTTGTTGTTGCAGTTTGGTATTGTTGTTGTTGGATTGGATTAGGGGTTTTACCTTGTTACCTCTGAGACAGGTAGAATGCAATGCAAAAATCTGGGAATCTTGTTGTTGATGTTGTTGAAAATAGTGCAACTTCTCCATCATTTTGAAAGAAACACCACCAGATGATTTTGTAATAGTATGAAGAACAGCAAGTGGTGGACATCTCTCACTTGCTTGTGAATAATCACTTATCCTCAACCCCTTCATCAATAATTCTATGTTGTTGTTGTTGTTCTCAAAATAAATCTCTACTTCACCCAGTAGATTATCACCTTGGTATACTACCGTTTTGATCATTGTTTTTGATTCAATTTTTTTTTTTTTTAATTTTTTTAAGAAAATTAAAAGAAAAATCAAATTTTAAAAGAAAAAAATTAGGGGGATTATTTTCTGACTTCAAATTTTTCTGGGTTCGAATTCGATCTGGAATGAATTAGGGTTTCTGATTTTTCGAATTTCTTCGTCTTCTTCGTCGTCTTCTTCCGACAGATTCAAAATTCAACATGTAAACAAGCAGATCTATCAAATTCCAAAAAAAATTAATAAGAAAAAAAATCCATAAAAAAAAGAGAGGTGAAATTAGGGTTTGTAAGTGAATAATCTGGCCAAATTTTAAGCAGATCTGATCTGTAAGAAAGAACAATGATCAAAAACGCTAGCGTCAACCAACTCAGATGGATCAAATTCGATAGATTTAGTCCGTCATATGAAGATTTTTATTAGGGTTTTTGATAATTTTTCTCTTTCTATTGTAATTTTTGTTGATGATGATAGTATGATGGAATCTTCGGCGAGAAAAAGAGGAAAACAAAAATTTGTATGAAAGAGAAAATGGAGAGAGAAAAACCCTAGTTTATTCGAAAGGAGGTCAATTTTGGAACTCCAAAAAAGCTGTGGTTGAGGCTATTACAATTTATTTAAATATAAAATGAATTTTAGGGTACTTGTATAGTCGTTTAAATATATAGTGATAATTGTGCTTGTGTTTCTATGTGCTTTGCTAGGCTACGGGGGAGGGTTTCCTTCTACCACTAGTTTTTGGTTTTCATGAGGGTTACGTTTTAGGTTCGCAGCAACTGCGTAAATGTCGTGTTATAGAATCTGCGCTTGATTATGCACACACTTGTACTTAACATTCATGCTTAACTGGACGTGATATTAATGTCGCTTATAATTTACTGAGTTGTTATAGTTGTATCTAGCAAGATTAGGTTAGATTTTATTATCATAATCCGTGATTCGTGAGACGGTAAGAAGATGATTTGTTTGCTTGCCTGTATGATAAAAGTCTTTTGATTTAAAGGATAAAAGCTCATTCTTACACAATAATGACTAATTAAGGCTATGTTTTGACATTGTTTTGGTTTGCTTGGTTTTTTCTTAATTTCAAGCATAAAGCAAAACTAGTTCCACAAAATTATTTATAAAAGACAAGTTCCCCAATGTTTGAACTTGATCAAAGCGAAAAAATAAACAAAAAGTTGTCTCTATCTCACTATCTCTCTCTCTCACACGACTTACTAGCCCAATCAACCAACTCAACTCCCATAAAAATGTTGGTCTCCTCTGGTTATTTTCGCCAGCAAGCCTTTTCTTTCGTTTTAGGTTGTTGGTTGCATCTTTTTATAGGATTTAGCTCATGGTTTCATGGATTATTTGCTCATATCAATAGTTTTTCGTTTGGGTTGCTACTTTTTTTGTCACATGAGTTGCAGATGATTATTATGGAGGAGTTCATACAATGTTATTTATGGTTACAGTAAGATTCATGGGAAAAACCAAGCATGAAGAAGAAAATCCGATGAAAGTGTTCGTATAATGTTATTTTTGGTTACAGTAATACTAGGTAGTGTGAGTGACAAGCTTGATATCTTCTCAATAGTTAAATAGTGGGAAAAAAACACAAAAAGTTTTGAAAACTTAAAATGAAATCTGATTTTAGTTTTAATAAAACTAAAAATGATGACAAACGATGCCTAAATGATTACTAATGGGTTTTAGAAGTTGAACTTGCATAGTTTGCTCAAATAAGGTAAGATAGCCTCCTAATAACAATTAGTGTTTAGTTGACATATTTTGCCACAAATTAAGATTGCAAATTTGTATTAAAAAAAAAACAAAAATAAAGATTGCAAACAGTTAGTGTTATGTCACAATTTCAAAAAAGAAAATGACCGATAAATAGATTATGTTTTACGTTTTTTCTTTACATTTTTGAACACTTAAGGAATTATTTACTTGCAACGATCCTTAACATTTATTCAGTTCCCATTATATTCCATTTACTTTTTTGTCTCGAATCTTTTTGTGTAAATAATTTGATGGTTGTAAAATAAAGTTCTTGTTACCTATTTGGTACAAATGCGAAACCGATAAAACTGCTAACAACTTACATTTTTAATGATTATTCATATTTCCCTTTTATATTAAAACCCTAATCCTCCTAGTCAAAAGTAAGTTGATGGCATTAAAATGAGGTAACTGTTACTTATTTGACACAAGTATGGACGAACAGTGGTGGATGCAGATTTCTATGAATAGTGGGTCACCACCATCCACCGACTACCATAGCAATCAGTAACAATGCATAAAAAAAACATTAAAAGTGAATGTTTCATAGAGGTTCATTCTATGAGTAATCATCCCTCTCATGTATCCGTTACGCAACTCCGTCTATAAGAGGAAGTTGAAAATTAGATTGGGAAATTTGTCTTTAAAGAGAATCAGAACCAGAACTAGAACTTAGTTACCCGAATCAGCCCAAGAATTACCTTGCGAAAGGACCCCTTAATCTGACGCAAGATTTTACCATGAGTACAATTTTAAAGAGGCGCGACACAATGATTGAGGGATATCTTTCTATACTTGTATATGTATATATTATAAAATTTAAATATGATAGATTCTCTCTTTATTTAACTTTCATTTGTAATGTTTGACTTTTATGATCAACTTTTTACAATTTTGACTTTAAACAATTATTGTAAGTTTTTATAAAAAAAAAATTTTAACATTAAATTTGATTAGAAATTTATATTCAAAATATCAACTTTTTAACGTAGTTTTCCTAGTATTAAAGCTATAATTTTCATTTTCAACTTTTTGGGATGCAAGCTTTTTTTCAAAGAATCTTCATTTTTCCAAAGAAGGTGATTAAGCAGATTGAAACTTGTTGCAGATTAATTTTTTAGATCGGTGATATTGCTATATTCCTTTTCCATTTGCTCTTAGGCAATCAAGAAGATTATGTCTTGCAGAAATTCAGAACAAGTTATATGCTATTGACAGGCTTGGGAGTGTCCTGTGATCCTATACGTGCTCTTTGTCGAGCCATTGCTGAATCTGCTTAATTAGCATCTTTTCTTTGCGCGTTCCAAGTCTGCTGAATCCGGAGTAGTATTTTGAGGGTCCTGGGTTGCAATAGATCACTTGAGCACTTGAACTTATAATTGGATCGGACAGTGTAATTAAACCTAGCAGAACGTACAAGGTTTCTTCTGAGCTTTACTGAGGCCATACATCAGAATTAGAGGAAGCGCTGTTATTTTTAGAAATGCTTATAGGATCGGAGTTATATCAGTTTCCATGTTGCTTGCAGATCAGATGTTCTTAAGCTGATCGATGTGTGTAGATTACTTTTGCAAATAGCAGGGTTCTCTGCTATTAGTTGCCTTTGCTGGTGTTGTTTTGAGGCTAGGCCTTTTGCTGTAACTTTGGTTACATTTTGGTAATAAAATCTCTTATTATTTGCTTAAAAAAAGCTAGAATTTCCAACCACAACTAATTAACAATAAGCTAGAATTTTAAGTTCCTTCCACCAAAGAAAAAACACAACAAGTGCAGTATACTAGATTGCAGTTTCCATAATTTCAAGCCTGTTGCTTTGGAAAGCAAAATGGGTTTGTGGAGCTTGGTAATTCCAAATATGATCATCTATTTTACACTAGATCATTTATTAACATTGTTTTATAGATATTCACATTAATAGAAGTATATATAATGTCCGAGAAACCGAGATCAACATCATTTGTCCTTATTATCTATATACCTAAAAAATTATGTACACGTATCGAGCAGATTTTAAAATTGCAATTTTTTAGCCCATATATATATCGAATGTGTAAACCTAAAAAAAAAAAATCTCTACAAGAATTTCATCAAACATGTAATATTATGTATAGTACTAGTCTCCAAACCAAAATGTAGAGTACATGATAAATTTTTAAATGGTACAAGAAAAAAAATACCATATATTGACTACCATGAGTCCATGACAATGATGAAATCTATATCAACTTTTATCAAATTAATTTACCAAATTGCTGCATAAACCTTACATATTATGACAATTAAGGGAAAAACAATTTTATCATAATAAACTAACGCTTATATTTTGTAAAGAGAATCAAAGATCTCCAAAAAAAAAACCATCACAATTACCAATTAGAAAGACTACTACAACACAAGCAACAAATTAAACGCTAAGCAATCAAAGCTCCTCACCACGGCCTTGCGACGTCGTCCCCTGGCCCTTACCCTTCACGCCATCAGTAGCTTTCTTTTTGGCACTTCCATACCCTTCCTTGGCCTTCTCCTTAGCCCATTTTAAATTTCCTACCGCCTCGGCCTCCTTGAACTTCGCCTCCTCGGGTATCTTAGTCCCCCATTTATTAGCCGTCTCCTCGGCCTCTTGGTCTGTTTGAGACAATGTTTCCTTTGCTTGCTCAACCTTTTGAGCTACATTATCTTTGGCTTCCTTAGCCTTTTCCGCGGCTACTTCTGCCTCTCGTTGAGCCTTGTTTTTAACTTTCTTTGAGGCATATTCTACATTATCTTGGATCATTTCCTTTGCATCTTGAGCCTTCTCAATGGTTACATCTTTCATTGAAGCGGCCTTATTAGCCGCCTCACTAACAGTTTCATAGGCTTTCTCCTTGGCTTGTCGAGTTGTTTCACTTGCCTTCTTTGATACCTCTTCAGCATTGTCTCGAACACTTTCTCCAGCTTTACGCGCCTTCTCTGTGGCAGAGTCCTTATAAGATGATGCCTTGTTAGCGGCTTCTTTGGATTTCTCAAGAGTAGCGTCTTTAACATCTGAAGCCTTCTTAGCAGCATCACTAGCCGTTTCATATGCTTTATCCTTTGCTTGTCTAGTTGCTTCACTCGCCTTATTCGAGGCCTCTTTAGCATTGTCTCGAACTTTATCTCCCACTTCTTTAGCCTTATCAGTGGCAGAGTCCTTGAACGATGAGGCCTTGTTTGCGGCCTCATTAGCTTGTTCATATCCTTTATCCCTCGCTTCTTTCAACTTCTCAAGTGTAGCATCTTTAACATTTGAAGCCTTCTTCCCTGCCTCATTAGCAGTTTCATATGCTTTGTCCTTTGCTTGTCGAGTTGATTCACTAGTCTTTTTGGACACCTCTTCAGCATTGTCTCGGACCTTGTTTCCCACTTCTTTGGCCTTATCAGTGGCGGAGTCCTTAACCGATGAAGCCTTGTTAGCGGCCTCATTAGCACGTTCGTATCCTTTATCCCTTGCTTCTTTAGACTTCTCAAGAGTAGCATCTTTGACATTTGAGGCCTTATTGGCTGCTTCATTAGCAGCTTCATGTGTCTTATCCTTTGCTTGTTTACACTTCTCCTTTGTTTTGCCGGAGGCTTCCTTGGCAGTTTCACACGCCTTCGATTTTAAATCTCCGGCAGCGTCGGACATATGTTCTCCAGTATCTGCACGCCCAAGAGACATACATCAATATATACTATATGGTCTGCATCATGCTAATAGTTATTGTAGATCACTTACTGTAAAAAAAAAAAAAAACATTACTAAATAAAATCTTACATTCTTACATATATGCATTATGCAATCAACCATATTCTCTTCTAACATTCTTACAAATTCTAGCATGATCAAAGTAGTATTTTGGCCATAATCCATAGTTAATACGAAGTATAAAGTTCAAAACAAGCAACAAAATCGGACTGTCAAATTTGGACTTGTTATAATATCAACCACTTGTATGTGCATTCTCAGTTTAAAAAAAAAAATATATCAACAATACGCCATATCTTTATTATGCATAAAATCACAGATTGCATTGGCTTTATATCTAGCACAAGTTAAACAATTAAATCAGCATTTAATGCCGGTTAAGTCTTGGATAAGACGGTCTCACAATAACTAATCGAGTGCCAGTTAAGTCTTGGATAAGACGAGCTTACACTAACTAATCGAGACATATAATATACTAGAATATATATGATACTCTTAAGCAAGTAAGATTTGCCCCAAAATAATAAATAAACAAAGTAAACTTGATCTCATGGTAACTAATACTACAAGCAGGTTATTATAATCTATAAAGCAATCTCATACAAGTTAATATTTCTCTTTAATTTCGATCTACATATTTTCACAAGACAAAACTATATATAAATCAAATCGATATTCAAAGTATTTTAAATTTAATTTATTAGTCTCAAATAGTATATAACTACTTATCCAAAGACCAAACTATTCATCTCAAACCACTATATCAACGTACTAGCATGAATCAAACAACAAAATTTTTCAAGGCAATGTTAAACCATATAATATTACTTTGTACATTATATACAAAGTAGTTTTAAAAGACCCTCTTCACGAGGAAAACTCCAAACTAGTGCAATTACTAGTACAATTATATACAATTATATAATCTCTGTTTTTTGGAGTTGATACTTTTCTAATATCACGCTTGCTAACGCATACTTTTAACGATTAATATCTCTAATTTATCAACATTATAAAAATATATAAAGTGAACATAAATATATTTTATCGTATCTATAAACCACGAAAACGAGTCAAAATGTGTTGTGTGAATAGTATAAAAGTCAAACGGTGTCAACTAAAAAAACAAAGGGAGTATATACGTACCCGTAACGACTTGGTCGATATTATCTTCATTGGTTGAGGGCGCATCAACATGATCATCACTCTTCAAGCCAAGGCCCTTTTGAATTTTCTCCTTAGCCCATTCAGTCCAAGGGGCAGCCTCTTCAGAGAATTCATCCTCTGCTTGATCAATACCGTCTTTTGCTGCTTTTGTGTTCCCCTCTAGCAATTCCACCGCCGCGGTTATCCCTCCATATGCAACGCTGGAGTTGCCATCAACTATCGACACTGTTGCCGCCGCCACCACCACTAGTAGGACTACTTGCACGACCACTTTTGACCACCTAAAATCCACCATTTTTCTCCCGGGAAAAAAATAGATGTATTTTTTTGCTTTTGTTAAGGGTTTAAACTATATATGTAAGTAAATTAACTGCAAGAGAATAAGAGATTGTTGTTCAAGTAGATAATAAAATGTTTAGGCAGTTGATGGGGGTACAAATAAAGAGATGTACGTATTTTAGAAGGTGTTAACGTGTTCATGGGATGGACACCTGTCCTCTTATCAAGCCAAGTTGTGATGCCTTCGTGTCACTGTGAATATGTGACATCTATTTGCCTCTTTTTTAAAAAAAAAAAAAAAAATCCTAATAATTTTTTCTTGAATAAAATTTGATGTTCCATCTATATTTTCACAATATTAATTTTCTTTTTTAATACTCTGTAGTTTATATCTAATAATAATTAAAGATAAAATGAAATACGTAGTATATAAATTATACCAAACAATCTTAATTAAAATCAAGAGTAAATTTGTTTATATCTTTTATAGTATGTAGTAGTTCTTAAGATCTGTTCTTTTCAACTTAATTTCAGTTCAATTCAGTTTTTAATTTTCTTTTCTCATAAACATTCCAGTTCAACTCAACTTAATAAATCAGAACAGACCCTTAGTGATATGATTAAGGGTTTGTTCACATTTAGTTAATTTCAATTCAGTTATGTTTAGTGCAGTTTAGCTCCAATCATTTCAGTTCAGTTTAGTAATAACATAATTCTACACTTGCATTCAGTAACAAGAATACCAGACAAGTATGTTTCAAAAAGATGGACTAAGTTTGCAAAAACAGAGGCATGGGATAGGTTGAAGAATCAGGATCCTACACATCAATATATTCCATGGAGACAAACAATGATAAGGAAATACTAAAATCTAATCTTAAAGAGTCAAGAAAATGAATAAACAAGAGAATTTATGGAAGAAAGTTTCAGAAACAGTCTTAAAATGGTGGATGACTTACTTGCTAGTGCTACCCAGAGAGAAAGTGCAGAAGCTTCTAATGTTCCTGATGTGGCAGACAGCAATCACAGCAATGATGATGTTTCTTCGGCATTGAGTACAAGCACAAGTGTACCAATAATACTTGATCCACAAAGGGATGTAACAAAAGGTAGAAGCAAGATAGCAAAAGGAGGTCTTGAAAAAAGCAAGAGAAAAAGAAAACCAGCACTGCCACCTCCACATTTAGAATTTGGATCTAAAACACCTAATTTGAGACTCTTTTAGGAACTTTTTTAGATCATTTTTTTAAAAAAAAATTAATGTAATTTGTATTCTAAAACTATATATATTTTTTTTTACTATGTGACTAGTTTAATGAATATGTGATTGACACTATTATTAGCATATCTTTATTTAGTTAAACGTTTAAATTAAGAGTGACCCTTTTAACAAAAGCAATGAACCTTTTTTAAGCAAAAAGTGACCCTTTTAACAGAAAAAAGTGAACCTTTAATTTACTGAAAAAAGTGACCCTTTAAACATAATAAACCATTTACATAAAAGTAATTCTTTTCATGAATAAAAGTGATCCTTTTTCTAAATAAAAATGACCCTTTTCATAGCTAAAATTACCCTTTTTAAAAATAAAGTCTACATTTTTCTTGTTTAAAATTTACCCTTTCTATAAATAAAAGTTACCCTTTTTCTGCATAAAAGTTACCCCATAAAAAACAGAAAAAAAAAAACCCCTGACCCTTTTAATTTACAGACTAAAGTGACCCTTTTCACATAATAAACCATTTACATAAAAGTGAACCTTTTCATGAATAGAAGTGACCCTTTTTCTACATAAAAGTGACCCTTTTCATAGCTAAAGTTACCATTTCTAACAATAAAATCTACCTTTTTCTTGCTTAAAAGTTACCCTTTCTATAAATAAAAGTTACCCTTTTCTGCATAAAAGTTACCCCATAAAAATAAACCTTTTAATTACTTTATGTATTCACATACATCAGAATTCCAAAAACAACTAAAGCTTTAAACTAAGTTTAATTACATCATTGAACTTAATGTATGCACATACATTAAGTTTTTTCATTGTTTAAAAAAAACCCCTGACCTAATCAGCTAACAACAATAAATTATTTCACTATTTAGAAGGAGTAAACTTTTTTCCCTGCTTTTTTGCCCTTTTTCCTTTGGTCTTTTCCTCTTCTCCCTCTGCCTTTGCTTCTGCTTCTGCTGCCATTTTTCTTTCTTCTGTTTCTCTCTTCTTCTTCGCAGCAATTGCAGCCTTTAATCTTTCTTCAATTCCATTGACATAAGCAGGATCTTTCTTCTTCTCATTGAACTTGTGTAATTCTGACAACACATCGTTCCTAGATTCATTCAAATCACATAGCACTAGTGTGGTACAGATCTCTCCTCGTAAAAATTTCCTTCCATTAATCTCACAACAGCAAAAAAAAAATTATCAATATGTAATTAATAAAAGCATTAGAAATGAAAAAACTACAGAAACTATATAGATAATTACTGTTTTGATTTCATTTAATTTGAAAGATTCGCCAACAAAATGGAGCATGTGATACATGACAAAGACCCCACAGTCCAAATTGTCAACTTTTTCTTTTCTCCATTCCAACTCAACAACTTCAAAACCATAAGAAGGTAGCTGAGAACTCTTTGGATGATTTCTTTTGCCAAGAAAAGCACCCATTTGAACACACTGACATAAAATATAAAAGTTTAGAATACATTAAAATAAAAAAAAAGTTAAAATGGAAACAATGAATCAACAGTAAAATAACAAAAAAACAAACACAAACATACCATTTTTGAACACAATTCTTTTGTATAAACAAGAGCAGAATCAGTCCAGATAATGTTGTCAAGATAATATACGAACTCTTTTGTATGATCAATAACATACAAAATGTAGTGATCCTCAATAAGAACATGAAAATAGATCTGAAAGAGCAAAATTAAAAGAGATTTAAACAGAGCATATCATAAACAAAACTCTTTAAAATTTATTACATTAAGTTTAGATAAATATACCAGATCAGCATCCATTATATCACATTCTGGATTCTCATAGCTAACCCAACCTTCCCATAGGTCGTGCAAATCCTTAACAGCACTAGAAATGTTACCTTTGCCAATATTGTCACAAACATGGAAGAATGCAAACTATTAAAGTATAAGATCTCAATAATATATATATAAAGTAAATGTGTTAAGATATAAAAAAAAGAATGAAATAACTTACACTCTGCCTAACACCGAAGAAGAATTTTCGAGGACCAGTAGCCTAAAAACATGCTTTCTCATTCAAATACAGACAGAAGCAATCAATAACGCACCATCGAATCCTGAGTGGAGCAACAAGGGACACCATGTCTTCTCTTGGAATTAAAAAGTTCATTCCAAAAGTAACAAGGCTCTCACTGAAACAATAAAAAATAAGATCAGCATTAAAAAAAAACAAAAAAATATAAGGAAAAAAAAACAGATAAAAGAATAATTATAATAAAAAAGGACACTTAACTTCCTATCCATTGAAACATCCTTCAGCAAACAATAATCGAGAATTTCCAAATGTAACTGAGGCAAATTCTTGAAAATCCGAGCATTGCTCTTTACAAAAAGAGTTACAAAAGGCACCTGCACACCTACTGGTCCACAGTCCAGAGAGCATAGAGATTTATTTGCTCTGAAGATACGTCGAGGAGGTTCATTTTTATCAATATGCCCGACAGGAATATTTTCAGTAGGACCAGGAATGATAGCAGAAGGTCCAGAACCATTAAGGCCTTCATTAACTATTTTTCCATGACCATTGTCATCATCCTTAGGAATATTTTCATTGAAACCTTGTGCAGGTTCTTTTTCAGGAACAACATCTTTGTTACCTTCTGTAGGTTCATAAAAACCGCGAAACAAATCATGTACAGACTTCATTTTATTACACTCATCAATTAAACCATCTAAAATCTTCAGATAATGAGGATCAGAGAGTAGCAGTTCAGTTTGAGAAACTGAAACAGAATCATCAGAAGATAATGAAACACTTCTGCGAGAAGTAATCAGATCATTCAAGGTTTGAAAACCAGTTGACTGAACAAATAATAAAACATCCATATTTCTTTTAAACAAAAGAAACATTTCATGAACAACCTACAAACATATGAACAAAGAAAAAAAATAAATGTTACAAATAAAAATAATAAAATAAGTAGGAAATCTAAATATATGCTAAAAGTGACCCTTTTAAATGCATAAAGTGACCCTTTTAAATGAAAAAAGTTACCCTTTTGTATGAATAAAGTAACCCTTTTAACTTAATATTCAAGATAACTTTAATGCATATAAAGGGTAACTTCGTTGCAAAAAAAGGGTAACTTTGGTACACAAAAAGGGTAACCTTGGTACACAAAAAGGTAACTTTTGTACACAAAAAGGGTAACTTTTGTACACAAAAAGCAATAATAACTAAACATATAAGAAAACAGAACACTTACATCAGTTGAATTTTTTTTAATTTCTTCATCAGTCATAATACCTTCTGGAAGCTCAAATGCAACAATGCGACCAGTGGTACCACTTGTAGAAGCACCCTTATCATAACACAAAGTAGGAGCTGGCTTAAAAACAGTTTCCCTAAAATTAAGCTGTGACACAGGATATGTAAAAGTATCCAACGGTCCCTGCCCATAACCACCAGCTTTGATCTCTAACTTAATCCGCTTCTTAATCTTTACATCCGTCCAATGTTGAATCAAAGGAAGAGTACTACTTTCCTTTTCACCTTGAAAATTTAGACGATGAAAATACATAATTTGCAAAGCCAGCAAACAACCACTAACATTTTGAGCAGTTTCATCATCCTTATACTTCTGAACAGCTTTCTTTAACTTCTTCAAAACATATGAACACTAATCGAAAGTTTTAATTTCATCAACTTTTTCAACAACTTTCAACAATTTCAATGAAACAGTCCTATTAGTAGTAGGAGCTAAAAAGCTAGACATAGCTTGAAGAACAAAACACCTCTTAAATTGTTCCCCTCCATCAACCATCCGAGACTCCGATTTCGACAAATGAAGAGGTTGCTTACCAGAAAGACCATAATCAGATCTCCATGCCTGAATGATACGTTTATCTACACTTTCATCTTCAGAATTTTTATTAAGTTCAGGAACATAAATATCACTCAAAGGCAAGCAAAACACATCGCATATATCATTTCTAATAACAACAAATTCTTTACCAGTAGCGATGGTAAACATGCAGCTACCAGCATTGAAGTTTTCAACAAGCCAAGGTAGCATTTGACGATTAAGAGTTTTCAATTTAAGATGTAATAAACCTCCAAAACCAATTTCTTCAACAGCCTGTTTTTGCTCAGGACTAAAGTTCTGCAGCAAAATTTCCAATGAATAGGGTCTACATCTTGCAATCAAGCTTCTTTGCTCCCTAAATAGAAAAAAAAGAAAGAAAGTGTAACTAAAACAATATAAAATAAAAACAAAATATAATTAAAAATGTAAAAAAAAAAATAGGATATTTTGGATTTTAACACCTGACAAAAGGCTGAAAATGGTTTTTAACACCCCCCAAAAAAAAACTTTTATTTTAACACCTCCCAAAAATATAAAAGTTGGAAGTTAACACCAGTTAACGATTTCCGTCACGGAAATTTAACGTGGGTCCCACAAATTGGCTTCAACTTCAATTTTCACCCAGCAAAACACGAAACTTCCTCTCTGAACCTTCATTTCATTGATTTTATCCATTACAGATTTTTGGTGCTCATAATTTACAGATTTACAGATTTTTGGTGCTCATAAATCAAACCATACAAAAAATAAATAAAAATTCAACACCGGTTCATCTTCTCCTTCGTTGGAGAACAAAGCGACTGAGAACTTCCATTTTTTTTACCACCAATTCCGCCGCCCATAAAGGGCCCTGTACGGCTACTGACCAAGCCTTCGCAGCCAGCAAACATGTTAACTGGGGACCGGCCACCAAAATTAAATCAACCACCCAAGAAACCAACCTTGCCCCATCCCGTTAGCCACCCAGCTCCCTCCCCCGACCGACGACCGGCGAACCCATCCCACCCCTTTTCCCCACAAACGCAACCCAACCCTCTCCCTTTTCCCCTGCTGCCCCGACCCAAGCCACCACACCGAAACCACAATCAAAGATCTGAATCGCCGCAACCACCACCACTACCACCACTCTTCTGCAACACTTTGCTCCAAACCCTAACGAATCGACCCGCCTTAACCTTTTCGGCCACCCTAACCCCTAAACCACCACACCGTAACTTTTTTCGGCAAACTTAAATTGATTTCTAGACGAGGTTCGATGGATCTGCGATTTGCTCTGATTTCGGGAATTGATGTTGGGAATTGATTTTTTGCGGTTTGAGTGAGGAGGTGGCTGCAGGGGTTGCGATTGTGGGCTGGTATTTGGAGAGGAGCTGATTTGGTTGCGAGAACGGGGAAAGGGAAGGGGGGTGGGTTCGGTTGGCAGCGTAGGGGTGGGGGAAAGGGAGGGGGGAGGGAAGGGGTGGCAGTTGAGGGGAGGGTGGGCAAGAACGAAGGAAAGAGTTTGGGATGGCAGCCATGAAGATGAAGGGAGGAAGAAGACGAAGAAAAGATGAAGGGAGGAATAAGAAGAAAAAATGGGATGGCAGCCACGAAGGTGGGTTTCGTAAAAAATTGAAAACGAAGGAGAGTTGAAGCCAATTTATGGGACCCACGTTAAATTTCCGTGACGGAAATCGTTAACTGGTGTTAACTTCCAACTTTTATATTTTTGGGAGGTGTTAAAATAAAAGTTTTTTTTTGGGGGGTGTTAAAAACCATTTTCAGCCTTTTGTCAGGTGTTAAAATCCAAAATATCCAAAAAAATATGTATACTTACACAAAAGATTCAGAATCAGAATCAGAAAGCATTTCATAATCAGAATCTTCCATTGTATTAGCTTTCTTACGTACAATTTTGGCCTCTTTAGGAACTATTTTGGCCTTCTCAGACTCTGGTTTGTCACTCTTAGAAATAATTAAGCCCTTCTCAGGAATTTTAACAGCCTTTTTAGGTACTGCTTTGCTCTTCTCAGGAGCTATCTGGGTCTTTTTTGGTACTGGTTTAGCCTTAGCAGGCTCTTTAGGCTTTCCTTTTCCTTTTGTAGGCATTTTATAACGATAACCACCTATTGAGCCAATTGTATTGAATTATTACAGTGAAATAATTACAAATTCAGAAATTACTCATGGAAAAATATAGAATAATGTGCATAAATGACACTTTTAAATGCATAAAGTGACCCTTTTAACAGCACAAAGTAACCCTTTTAACAGCACAAAGTGACCCTTTTAACATCACAAAGTGACCCTTTTAACATCACAAAGTGACCCTTTTAACAGCATAAAGTGACCCTTTTATATGCATAAAGTGACCCTTTTAACAACATAAAGTGACCCTTTTAACAGCATAAAGTGACCTTTTATATGCATAAAGTGACCCTTTTAACAGCATAAAGTGACCCTTTTAACAGCATAAAGTGACCCTTTTATATGCAAAAAATGACCCTTTTAACTGAAAAAGTTATTCATTTAACAACATACAGTGACTCTTTTAACAACATAAAGTCACCTTTTTAACATCATAAAGTGAACATTGTCAAAGCATATAAATGACACATATGCAGATATGCCTACTATACTCATAATCTAACTAAAACATAAAACCTAAACCAATAATCAGTTTAATTAGCATTCTCTGACTAAAACCTAACATACAAAATTTGAAGAATAATAAGCAATGAATAAAATAAAGTTCTGAAAACAAACATGCAAAATTTATTGGAAAGTTTTTTATAATATTTAATTTATTTTTCTCAAATAGTGGATCCAATAAAATTACTTTTATATTCTCTCTCCTCCAATTTACCTTCTACCAACCCCATTACCCCACTATCTCCATATTTTAATACTTTCTTTAATTTCTCTTAAAACTCCGCACATGGAGAAATGAAATAAGTATTTAAAAACGGAGGGAGTTTCACGTCATTTCAAAACTCTAATATCAGCATATAAATGGACCATCTCAATTAAAAAATTTAAGATATGATTGAAGTTCAGAATTGATTTATATATTCTATAGAGTATATTTCTATCACATAAAATGTATTGGTTTATCTCATACATTAGCACAGCTACACTCTAATAAAGATTAATTAACCAAAAAAAAAATTAACTCACCTGACCAAAAACAAAATAACGTACTCAAACTACGACGACGTCTAAAAGTTGACACGTGCTCAAACCATTCAACTCGTTACACCATACCATTACATCTGTTATTACTATCCAGCAGCTGCATTATCGTCAATATCTTTAGTTTCTAACACCACTTCTAACAAAAAAACGTAACATAATAAACTTCGTCACACTTACAACAAAGAAAGAATAATTATATATATATATATATATATATATATATATATATATATTCTCAACTCTTTATTTTTCCGGGAAAAATATGGCGGCATCTCGGTGGCCTACACTTGAGGTACAGGTGCTCTTACTAGTGGTGGTGGTGGCGGTTGCAGTGGCGAGGGTGAATGGTAATGGTTCAATAGCGACTGCGGCGGTGCAAGAGATGGTTGATGATCCAGGATCAGCGTCGAAGAGTTGGGGTCGAGCTGCCAAGGAAGCCACCGATTGGGGGAAGGATATGATTGTGCAGGCCCTCCGGTTGAACCGCTCGGGTTGTTGGGTTGGTGGCGATGCTCCTCAGGCCACACAAGGTATTGCTAACTAATTACTATATGGTGTACTACCTTCGTTTTATTATGTTCTTTACTTCTGTCTTACACTTGCTAGTATCATCAGTGTCTTTAATTATTGAGACAAATTAAATTTAACAATGGATTACAAATTAAAGTATGTTGGTAATAGCTACCACTATTAGTAATTTAACATAATGAGACAATTTTAACATTATAATTTATAAAGTATGGGGAAATTAAATTTGCTACAGTACTTACAACGGGTAAAAGTACCCATTTTATGTGTGTTAACTTATAAGCTATAACCATCAAAATTTATTTTTGTAAAATTAGGGCCGGTTCTTTTCAGCTTAATTTTAGTTCAATTCAGTTCCTAATTCCCTTCTCTCATCCGTAAACCATTCAACTCATTTCTGTAAATAAGAACAGACCCTTACAACTAAAAAAGTCACCATACATTTTCTAATACAATAAAAATTTCAATTTCGCCCACTTTTACTGGAATTTGTTGTCATTAATCATTTATGGGTAATGTTATATGTAGCCCTAAGGGCTATATATAAGCATTAAATATGTATAAATCAGTGTTATTAGTGTTGGAAATTGTATAAAATTAGGAATTCGTGACAAAAAATACGCGTAAATCAGTGTTATTAGTGTTTATATTTTGATGATTTCTTAACTTTTTACGATTTTCAAGTGTAAATTTAATGTTTATATGTAGTTCTAACTTCTAAGGGCTATGTATAACATTTTCCATCATTTATTGATATAAAAAATAACTCCCAACCAATATTAGTTTGCAATTATTTATTGATATAATGACATTATACTGAAAGTGCTCGAAAATTGAATTTTGGTTGTAGTTTATAATGCACTTTTTGTTGTAATTTATAAAATAAAATTTGTTGGGTGTCACTCGTAAAATGACTAAAATCAATACTTTTATTGGCTGTAATTGGCAAAATTGTGAATGAAATTATTAGAAATTTCTTTTACTATTTTTTTTTATACGGAATGTTGACTTTGTACACAATTCAATTCAATTTATTTTCCTTACTAATCATCTTTGGTAACTAATTATTTTTAGAAAAAATATGCATGAAATGTATGTGAGATTTTGTTAGAGGGGTTGTAACGTCGTGTAAATGTCACCTTAATTGTCATCCAATTGGTACTTTTATATGTAGGCTATTTACAGTTATATAGCAATTAGAAAAGAAAAACAATTAAAAATTAATTGATCAATAACATATACAAGTATATATGTATGTTGATCTCTTGGGCATGCAGATAAGGGAGAGCTAAGGTCCAACATTCCTAGAGAGGCAACATCAAGGGCATATGAAACCCCCGAGGAAGCCTCCATTAGAGCAAAGCGAAATTGCCAACAATCAATGAAATCATGTGAAACTAAGGATGTTCCGGTTGAGAAGGCTCCTCCTGTGACACAATTTGCCGCTGTTGAGACATCTAAACATGCCAAGCTATGGGGTGATAAGATGGGTGAGACAATTCGACGTATAAAGGATAAAGCTAAATCTGCAGCTAACAAGGCTATGTTAATGAAAAATGCTGCTTTTGGGAATTTAGAAAGCCAAGAAGTAAAGGGTAAGATAACCCAAGAGAATGTTGTGGAAGACCTAGGTAAAGATCAAGAAGAAATGGCTGACCAAAAGGCCGAGGAGGAAAAGGAGAAAGTGAGCCAAAATGCTCGAAATGCCAAGAAAATGAAGGGTAACAAAAGGAGGAAGAAGGTGATAGATGAACGGAAGGTGAACGAAGATTCGAATGAGCTTTAATTTAGATCGATTATGGATGATATTGTGAAGGAGAAGGCTACAGATGGGCATGATATAGTACTAAGGAGAGGGTCTTGGACTCTTGGGGATGTCTATGATGAGAATTATAGTTGACTTTTTAAGTAAAAAAAGTTGACTTGGTTTGGTTTTGGAAGTTTTTATTTTATTATTGTTGATAGTTAAAACATGTTTTTGGGATGTATTTAAGTGATTAGATGATAGAGCAGGGATAGATGTAATATATAATAAGTTCGTAATTACTCCGTAGAATTTTTGTGATGGCATGAGAGCATAGAACTACAAACTAGTTGAACCATTATACTTGTTTTTTTTATGTAGTATTGTATATAAGATATTGTGAAAATTTTGCATTGACATTATTGTTATGTTTGCTCTTCTAATAAACTAGACAATTACCTTAATTAGTCTTGCTTTAAGTTACACAAGTACCTCCTAAAGCAAGTAGCTATTTGACTATCAATAATTTTCATTGATAAATTAAATTAGCCATCAAGTACTCATCGTTTATGTGTTTGCATGTTTGATTGACAATATAATCCAATTATGTATTGTACTTAATTTTTTTAAGGTCTCACTTTTTTTTTCTCTCTCTCTTTTCAATTCCATTCAATTAAAATTTAATAGATTGTCAAAAAAAACATTATAAAGTGAAACATGTCTATAGGGAAAACAATTGAAAACGGAATCACAACGAGGGTATATATTTTAAGTTGTCGTCTAACACGAATTTTCATATGTGACTGGCTACACCGTGTGGCCATTCACATTTTTTTTGAACCAATGGTTGGGGTTACTCACTCGAACAAGAGTTATTTACTCGGTCAGGGATTACTCAGTCGGTCATTGATTACTCGATCGGTCATAAGTCACTCAATCAGAAATTACTCGTCGGCCAAGGATTACTTATTGTGTGTCATACGATGTAGCCAGCAGGCCAGCCGCACAAAAGTTGTTGGCCGTCTAAAAGTGACACAGTGACATAAGTCACAAAATTGTTTGTACTCCCTCCGTTTCTTTTTACTCGCAACAAATACTATAAATGGTCGTTACACATTACTTGCAACAAACTATTTTCTTTCCTTTTACGGTAACTTTTTTTGTATGACTTTACAAAATTACCCTTACTTTTATTTTTAAACACCCTAATTAAACTACTGATTTTATCATATTAACTTAAACTCTACATTGATTAACTAAATCATTTCCACCAAAATCATTCCCCTACCAATTAATTTCATCATCACTTTCATTTCCCAACCACCACCACTACCATCACCACCACTACTACCACCACCACCATACCCAAAATTTCTCTCTCTTTCTTCACCGATCTCCTCTCAATTCGACCGCAAACCTCGCCAGAAGTCTCATTCTTCACCGATCTCCCCTCAATCTGGGTTGTGGGTTTTAGGTTCGAAAATCGGGGTTCGTTGGTGGTGGGTTCGTTCGCATGTATTGATTCATGGGTTTTGGGGTTCGTAATCTGAGTTCGTGGGTGGTAATGGGTTGTAGATTCGAGGGTGGTGGCGGATTTTGGGTTCTAGGTTCTGGGTTGTGGCGGATTTATGCGAAAGGGACGAATTTTATGTTAAATTGCGGATCTTTGGTTCTGGGTGGTGGCGAATTTTGGTGGTTCTGGGTTCGTGGGTTTTGGGGTTGTAGGTGGTGGTGGGTTGTAGTTGGTTCGGTGTTTAGGGGTGGATTGTAGTGGGTTCGGTGTTTAGGGTTGTGGGTTGTAGTGGGTTCGGTCTTTGCTGGTTTCGTGGTGGTGGGTGGTTTCGTGGTGTTAAATGGTGGTGTTGGGTGGTTCCGTGGTGCTTGATGGTGGTGTTGGGTGGTTCCGTGGTGCTTGATGGTGGTGTTGGGTAGTGTCGTGATGCTAGGTGGTGGTGCTAGGTGGACAGGTGGTGGTGGTGGTGGTTCGGTGAATTCTAGTTTCTGGGCTGTTAACTTTAATTTTTTTTTAAGTAGGATTAACACACTTAAGTGTATGCCCTTATTTTTCATTAATCATGGTTTCAATATTTTGCCTAGGAGTCCGCAAACTACTAGTTTGTTGCGACTAAAAAGTGACGGAGGGAGTATACTAGCATCATCCTAATAAGATTAAGAGTCTGTTCTCTTCCGTTGAAATTCAGTTCAGTTTAGTTCAGTTCAGTTCAGCTCAGCTCTTAATTTACGTCTAATGATATTGCTAATGATATAAAGCCAAATTTCATTCTTTTAAGCTCTTATTACAACAACAACAATAACAACAATAATCAATAACTTAATACTAAAAGCGAAACCAGTGATGACATGTCATTCACTGGTTAAAAATTTTCCCTCCATTCTTTATCTTTCCTTATGAAAAATATTTATAGCCTATAATATTTACTTTCCATTTTTGCGATTATATTTTTGTCATCAATCAATAACTTAATACTAAAAGCGAAACCAGTGATGACACATGTCATTCACTGGTTAAAAAATTTCCCTCCATTCTTTATCTTTCCTTATGAAAAATATTTATAGCCTATAATATTTACTTTCCATTTTTGTGATTATATTTTTGTCATACGCACTCAAACGAAATATTTTTGAAAGTATATTTTTTTACAGTAATTCTATTTTTTTTTAGCATATAATTGTTAAATTAATGTAGTAATTTACTATATAATTATTAAAATCTGTGCATTGCACGGGACTTTAACTAATAATAATAATAATAATAATAATAATCATCAATAAATAATAATAATAATGATAATAATAACAATAATAATTGAAATAATAATACTAATAATAATAATCAATAAATATTAATAATAATCATCAATAAATAATAATAATAATAATAACAACAATAATAATTGAAATAATAATACTAATAATAATAATCAATAAATAGTAATAATAATCATCAATAAATAATACGGATTTTTCACCAAATACCACTGAGTTTAAACTTAATTCACCGTATACCACCAAAAACTTTGTAATACACCTTGTACCACTCAATAACTGTACATTAACACGAAATGCCTTTTTCCTTAACTGCCGTTAGTCTGCCGTTTGAGGGAATTTACCAATTTGCCCTTATACATCAAACTGGCGCCATCAATAGGGTTGACTCCCCCAAACATCACACTTGTAATTCGAAAAAATTAACCCCCCATTTTCCCTTTCCATTGAAGCGTCTCTCTGTTCTTCACCATTGAAGTTGATCCTCAAAAATTAATCCAAAAGCTGTAAACTTTCTTCGATCTAAAGTAGATGTTGCTAGCAGGACGACAATTAGGGCTTTTCGATTGAACACGGAACCTGGTTGGTGCGGTTTGAGAGAGGAAGTTGTTCGTGACTGAATTTCGCTCGAAATTCTTACCTGGGCTGGGTTAAGCTTTCTAAAGGTAATATTCTTCTCATTGATTAGATTTTCGAGCTCTGATTTTGTTGTTTTTTGCGAAATTGAGTTAGGGTTAGAGTTTATTCGAAAATGATTATGTTAGTTTGGATGTTATGCTATTAACTTCGAATGATTAGTTTGGAAGTTGTTAACTGGTGATTAGATTAAGTTTGATGTTAACTGGTGATGTGATGTTAATTGTTGTTGCTTATTATTCATTGTTAGGATGAGTGCATTGTGGCTATTAGTTCGTTCGCCAGGTGGTAGTTTTGATGTTAGGGTGGATGACATTGATAAGACCAATTTGATGGAGTTGTTTGAGTATATGTTTGAGGATTCAGTAAAGCAGAATGTTTTCCTCCCTAAGTACTTCGCTTTGTTTGTGAGTAAACCTAGAACTAATCGTAAGCTAGAGTTAGTTGATGATGGGGCAATGTTGAAAATGTGGGAGTGGAATGAAGGGAAGGATAAAATAGAAGTGTTCATAGAAGAGACAGAAAACCCATATGTTGTCTTCCAGTCTGCAGAAACTAGTTGGGAAAGAACTTTGAAGATCAGGGCTGACAAAATTAGGCAGAAGGAGGAAGAGAGAAGGAGAAATGCAGAGGCTGAAGAAGTTGAGGAGGAGCTTAATGCTCAAGAACCATTTACTGTTGCTGTAGAGGTCCCTATTGTGAATGCAGAAGAAGATAAGACTGAATATGTTAGGGTATTCCACACTGCAGCAGCTGATGAGTCATTTCCAGGAGATTCTCAACCTCAACCTTCACAAAATGAACCATCTCAACCCTCAAATGAAAAAAGTAAGACACCATCACCACCCAAAAAATCTCCTACAAGGAAAAAAGTAACTCCAAGGAAGAAAAAAAACCCAACCTAAGCAGTCAACTCAACCAAGTCAGCCTACATCTCCACCACCAAGTCAACACCCTTCTCCACTAGCAACACCAACACACCATGCTTCCCCAAATAACCCACACATGCATGAATCACCACCCCAAGCCAGGCAGCCTACACCACCCCCACCACCACCACCACCACCACCCCAACCCAGTGCTGCTTCTAGTTATGTTGACAAGCCTAAAGTGCAATCTAGAGTTAAACCAAAAGAGTGGAGGGTGCCAAGAAGCACAGCAAAAAAGTATGGTGTTGAGGTTGTGAAGAATAAAATAGGAGGGAGGGAAGTGAATACAGGGAGCAAAAAACCTGTGCAAGTTGAGGACAGTGATGGTGAATCTGATCCATGGCCTTCTGAGGATAGTGAAAATGATGACTATGAATTTTCAGAAGCTGGGGATGATTTGGATATGGAATTGAACCTTGATGATGAGTATATTGTGGAAGAAGAAGACCTAGCTGATAATATACAAGAGTAGACTTTTGAAGACTACCTGGATGGGACTCATGTTTTAGACAAGCTGTACAAAAATGGCAAGGTCTGGTCTAACTTACCATTTGGGTCAATTCAACTTGAACCTTGGTTAATATTTGAAACCAAGGAACAATTTCATGATGTCTTCAGAGATTTTTTCATACAAGAAGGCTTTGCTGTGATAGTAGACTATGCTGACAATCATAGATATACTGCAAGGTGTCTGATCAATGATTGCAGTTGGAGGATTCATGCAGCAGTCCTTGTTGATAAAGTCAGCTGGGCAATAAAGATACTAGAAGGGGAACATAAAACTTGTGGGAGGCTGAAAGAGAATCCTATGGTGTCTTCAGCATGGCTTTGCAGACATTTGAGGCCAGATCTGGAAGCAAACCCAGATATCCCTGTTGATGCACTGCAAAGGATGTGCCTGGAGAGGTATAGGATCTAAGTAAAGTCCAGGCTGTTTTACAAAGTGAAGTGTTTGGCCAGGGAAAAAATTCATGGTGGTTTTGCCCAGTCCTATGCTCTGTTACCAAAATATGCTGAGATGATAAAGGCCACCAATCCTGGCTCATATGCTCTCATTACTTGGACTGACAGTGGGGGTGTAGGGAATAATTTCAAGCCTTTAATCCCACTACCTTGAACCCCACTGTGATCATACACTAAAGTACGGTGGCGTCCAAGAGCAAAAGAGTCGCCAACAAGTTTTTAAGGAACTTGTAAACCGTTCACGAGGTGAAGGTTACACCCCTTAACGATCCAAGAGATCGTCAACTCCATAAGGTCATGAACCAAATAAGGGTTTGGGGATGAAGGTACAAATCCAACCTAAAAAAGATTGAACCTGCCCTAATAATAGGCCTCTACTTTATTCTGATCGTATTCATGTGCGCTTTCTGATTAACATACAATCAATAGGATTAACCCTAAACCTGTTTAATCTATGCTGGTTGAATATTAATGCACAAATAAATCTATTATCGGCGATCACTTGAAATTATAATCATATTAACCCTAACAAGATTATTAATTATCTTATTAAGCGTGATTACAAGTACAAATTCCCTTTAACATGCATAAAAGGTGTGATCAAGCAATAAAGAATAAGAATTAAGCAACATAATAAATAATCAACATCAATAATTATAATAATATCAATCATAATCATAATAATCATAATCATGTTAAAGCATAGCAAGATCCTAGGCATGATACTAACAAGATTAATAACAAACCCTAGCATGTCACTAAACAATAAAAATCAAATCTTTAGCCCTAACATGATACTAACAATCATAAATATTAGGAAGAATATAAGAAGCATCGTAACAATCACATTTAATATTAAAAATACCCTAGACATGATACTAGGAATATCATAATAACAATATAAACATGATTTCTACATCATAATATCAATAAATCAATAAAGTACTTACTTTGATGCCTCGTACCTCTTTCTAATAACAAAATACACATGTTAGTAACTTCAAGGAAAATAATAATCAAACAATTAAATTAAATAATTGAAATAGAAATTTGGGACCAAACCCTCAGAAATTAAAACCTTTCACGTCTAGGGCGAAGGCAACTTCGAATATGGCTAGGTGTTTCTAGATCTTGCGAATGCGGAATTTTGTATGAAAAAACAAGGTTTAGAAAAGAGAGAGAGAATAATCAAGAAAATCTTGATGAGAGTTGGTGAATTGAAATAAGAATTGATGAAATCTCGTCCCTGAAAACGGAGTTTTTAATACGATATTTATAGAGAAAATCAGCCAAAAAAGATAATTTAACAAAACAGAGTCTGACGACCACAAAACAGCATTGGCGCCAACCCTGGCTAAATGGCGCCAGGCACCAGTGGCTAGCGTCTGGCGCCAAGCCTGGTTCCAGGCGCCAAGGCCTGGGGTTGGACGCCAAACTGGTTTTCAACGCGTTTTCGAAATAAGTTTACCGTACTGGAAGATAAAATAATATAATTTCTTCGAAAATGCTATTTGATCTTGATTAAAACTCTGAAAAGTCAACAAAGTCAACTTATCAATGCTAATTGAATTAGGAATGAAAAGAACCTTCTAGAAGATTCTAGAAGACCAAAACCATTCCTAATTGCATTAGGAATGATAAATCATATTAGGCCCCCTCCTAGATCATTGGGCCGTACATAAAGCTCAAACCGGGTCCAGTTTAGTAAATTGGCCATAACTTCCTCAATATTTATCGGAATTGGGCTTATAATATATCGTTGGAAAGGTCTTTGCAAGCTCCATCCAAATACACCACTATTGGACCCATATCATGGACCAACCAAACCGAATTGGCTGTTTTCTTAAAATAAGTTTTCAAAAACAAAGAGAAGAGAAAAGAAATAAAAACTATCTGCAACACTAGACCTTTCCACACTTTCGTTTCATTCGATTATGATTCGACGTGAAAGGTAATCATCACTGGGTTTGGTTTTGGGGAGACACAAATGGGTGACTACAGGGGGCAATGGTGAAAAGTTCAAGGTATGTTTCATCTCTTTTGCAGCTCAGGTGAAAGGGTTCTTGGGTGGCTGCAGACCCATTATAGAGTTTGATGGTTCCCATCTCAGTGGCTATTACAAAGGAGTCATGCTCACTGCAGTGTCCATTGATGGCAATAATGAGATTTTTGTGATAGCTTATGGTTTGGTTGATACAGAGAGTATAGACAACTGGACTTACTTTTTCAGAAACCTAAGGATCTTATTTGCACAATATGGATCTGAAAGGGATGACTGGACTTTTATAAGTGACAGGATGAGGGTTAGTTTCTTGCTTTTTAAAATAATTAAACTTTGTCTTTCTTTTGTTAATTTTCAGTAACTAAGTTTGTGTTTGTATGTTGAAGGGTGTTGAATCAGCCCTTTTTGAGGTATTCCCAAGAGCAACTAGGAGGGTATGCTGTCAGCATGTGTACTCTAACTGCATAAAAGCTAGGTGGAGTGGGACAGAGTTTCATAAACTCTTTTGGATTGCAGCCAATGCATACAATGCATATGTGTATGACAAGGCAATGTCAAAGATCAAGAAATATGATGAAGCAGCATTTGACTACCTTACAGCTACTGAAGAGCAATGGAGTAGGTACATGTTTGACAGAACAGTTTGTTGTGATCATAACACAACAAACTTTGTCGAGTCATTCAACTCATGTACAAAGGACAACAGAGATTTGCCTGTCCTGACTTTATTGGAAGGTAACATCTGACCCCTTAATTTCTTTGTGATTAAACAGTAAGCACCATGTTCTGATTGTGTTTTTTTTTTTTTTTTTTTTTTTTTTTTTTTTTTTTTTTTTTTGGGACTTAAACCAGCTGTAAGGAATTGGTGCATGAAAAGGATGGGTTCTAGGTTTGACAACGCAATTGATATGGATCCTAATGAGCTAACAGAGTTTGCTAAGGGAGTTTTGGAGACAAGAAGTGAGGAGTCCAGATTGTGTCATGTGACAGCAGCTGGTGGTGGAGAGTTTGAGGTCAGGGATGGGCATGTGAAGTTCTCTGTCACACTTCAGACAATGACCTGTGGTTGTGGGAAGTGGCAAGGGTCAGGAATACCACGCAGACATGGTCTAAGGGTCATATACAACCAAAGACTTCAAGCTAGAGATTATGTGTCACCATACTTCAAGGGAGCTGCTTACAAGCTGACTTATGGAGACCACATCCATCCCATGTCAGATCCAAGCCACTGGCTAGCATTTGATGTGCCTGAAATAGCACCACCAACTGTCAAAAGAGCTGCAGGCAGACTAGCTAAGCAGAGAAGGAGAGCACCTCATGAAGCAAGAAAAGGAAAGAGGCACAAGAATAACAAGTGCAGTCTTTGCAAGGAGTTGGGACACAATGCAAAAACCTGTAAGGCAAGAAAGGAAGCAGCAAAACAAGCAGAAAATGCAGCATCCAGTTCACAGCAAGGCAAAGGAAGAGGGAGGAAGAGAAAGGCTGATAGTTAGAATCCTTGAAGCTGCCATAAATTATGTATAATTTTTTGGGGAAAACATTTCAAACTTGTGTCAGGTTTTTTTTGGACAAAATGTTAAGCACTTAGTTGTTTTGCAACAAACTTGTTTATTACATTTCAAGAAAATGTACTACAACCATTGCAAAATCATGTAGCCCTAAATTTTTTGAAGACAAATAGCTACCAATTCAACTTGCATATTACTTTTAGCAATGAAAGTTTGTTTACATTTTTACTCTAGCTTTTAGAAGTGTGACTTGATTAGTATCTCCCTCAAACACTACATTTATATAAACAAAGTAGCCCGTTACAAGTGTGCAAGGGTTATTTTTAAAAAAAATATTACCGTTACAAAAAAATGGGTAAGTAGTGAAATAACTTTTAAATAATGGTATATGGTGAAATAATTTTTCACAGTAGTGGTATATGGTGAATTGGTAAATTCCCTCAAACGGCTGACTAACGACAGTTAAGGAAAAAGACATTTCGTGTTAATGTACAGTTACTGAGTGGTACAAGGTGTATTACAAAGTTTTTGGTGGTATACGGTGAATTAAGTTTAAACTCAGTGGTATTTTGTCAAAAATCCATAAATAATAATAATAATAATAATAATAATAATAATAATACTAATAATAATAATCAATAAATAATAATAATAATAATCATCAATAATTAATAATAATAATAATAATATTAATAATAATATGTACATTTGTATATACACATATGTATAGTAATAAATAATCAAAGATCACTAATCCGTAGTTAAAAATCACTAATTAATAAGTTCAGTTCAGTTCAGTCTAGTTCAGCTGAGTTCAGTCAATCGGAACAGGCCCTAAGTCCATATGAACATACTCCGTACTCGGAAAGAATTGTACTGTAATGGGTAATCTTGGACAGGGTGATGCTTGGCGTACCATCATCATTCGTAGCTCCTGTGGCGAGGCAAATGAGTTAATCGTAATGCAATAAAGTTAGTGTTTGTTCGTTCATACGAAGTAAGAGATTAAGAGCTGAATTGTGATTTGTGAATAAATAAAAAAACAAAAAAAGTTGATAAGTAAAAATTAAATCTCGCCCTAAATCGTACGGTTTAAATTTCAATTTCAAGTTTTCAACCCAACGTCAACGGGTAATTTAACGCCCAACCCTTTTTTCAAATTACCTTAACTACCCCTACTCCCAACAAAAGTAGTACAAAAATCAATGTAATTTCATAAAACTTTTAGGGGTAAAATCGGAATTACGAGACGCCATTTTCAAATTCACCCAAAACTCCAAAAAGTAGAAAAAAAAATCTCCAGAAATCAAATCCTCATTTTCTCTCTCCTCTCACCTTCGAAAAACAGCTCGAAGATCTTCTTCTACTCTCTGAAAAACCCCCAATTTTGGAGCCGTTGAATTTCAAATTCTTCAAAAAATTGACAAAGATTCAAATTCTTCGAAATTAATTTCCCCAATTTTCAAAAAAATTCATCAAAAAAAGAAATGATTGTGAGAACATACGGGCGGCGGAAGATCGGGAGAAGTTTATCAGATTTATCCTTTGAAGACGACGTTTTAATGGAGGAAGAAGAAGACGACCCTTTTACTTTCAGGGAAACAACAACAACAACAACAACAACAACATCAACCTCGTATTCTCAATTCCAAGAAAGCCCTCAAGAAATCGGGAGTTTTACATTTTCATCCCAAGATTCGACTCGTTGGGTTAACTCAGAGAGTGAGAACAGTAGCTCAATGGCTTCTTTGCAGCTTTTGGCGCCTGGAAAAGGGAGGAGAGAGAAAGCGAGGAAGTTGAATGATGGGAGGAGAGAGATTAAGAAAGAAAAGGCGGTATCGAGGCGGAATACGGTGACGATGACGGCGACAACGGCAACTTTGATGGAGACGCAGGAGTATGGGGAGATGATGGAGTGTGTGGATGAGGTTGATTTTGCATTGGATGGGTTGAGGAGAGGGCAAGGGGTTAGGGTTCGGCGGGCGAGTTTGCTGTCTTTGTTGAATGTTTGTGGGTCTCCTCATCACCGCCGTCTTCTTAAAGCTCAAGGGTATGAATGATTTTATGAATGAATTATCAATTTAATTTTGGTCTTAATTTATCTAATTTTCGTTGTTTCGAATTGGGTATGTCATATGTGTAGTGTAATATTGTTTCGAATTGGGTATTATGAATTTGGGGAATTGTATGATTAAATAGGGCGGATTAAATTTCAGTTAAGTTTGTAGGGAAATTGTGAGTTTGCTTCGAAACAAACCGGAAGAGAATTACTTTGGAACAAATTAGAATATAGGATTTGCTTTGGAGTTTATATTAGTCCTGTGAAAGGTACATTTTGCTTCTGAGAACATTTTGAGTTTGGCAATAAATTGAAACTCTTGATAATGTGTATTGTCTTAGTGCGCTCTTAGCAGTTGTTAGAGCTTAGAAGACATGAGGTGAATAATCGAAAGGTGAGAGGTGAAGATTCCGAGGTCAAGGAGTCAAAGTGAACATTAATCTAGGGTATGAAAACTAAGGACAAAGAAAAAAAAAGTGGAGAGAAAAAAAAGTGGGTGGATGAATGTGAGTCCCAACTTAAAAACCACAGAGAAAATGCCTTTTTGGGTATATGTTAACCTTTTTGAGCTGAGATAGAAGGATTAATTAATATAAAGATTAGATGGCTTAGGATTGACTGATTGAGGAACCTTATTATTTTGCACATTAGATTGAAAAGCTATGAAGTAGGCTGTTTGTTTTTCTGTAGATATGTCAGTATTACGTCCATTAAAGATTTATTTACCATTCTTTACAATTGCTTCACCTCATTATCAACACAGCCTCCTCATGGTTTACGATATGTTATTTTGTTATATTTTTTCAGCATGGCAAAGACTATTATTGATACAATCTTGAATTTAAGCCTTGATGATTCACCAAGCAATCTGGCTGCTGCAACTCTGTTTTATGTACTGACAAGTGATGTAAGTAATTGCTGAAATCTATATTAAACGCTTCTCTTAAATCTTTTTTCTGGTTGAACTTGAATGTAGCCGTTCTCAATCTATACTTTATTTGCTTACTCAATTTTATCATATTGATGTTACTCTTATAACTTATATTTGGAATGGTAGTTTTGAACTTATTTTTTATGTCATCCAGGGGCTTGGTTTCTCTGCCCATTCTTGTATGCCTGTGTAATTTATGCATGTATAGGGTTAAAGTTGCATATGCTGGAATGCACCATATTACACTCAAAGCATGATGGGTATGATGTTGAGTAATATTGCCTGGTTGTTGCTCACGTCCAGAATTATCGAACTACATATTTTCTAGGTTGTCTAGTCATCAATTAGCTTGCTGTTACTCATATCTTCCCCTCCCAGTATATGTAAATGTGTTTTCTGTGGGTAAGGCGTTGATAATCTGGATTTGTTAATTAATCTGTGAGCCACTGCACGAGTAAGGTTTAGGTTGCATTACTGGGTCATGTTGGATAGGATGATATTGGCCATATTGCAGTCCTAATCTTTAAGTATATTTGATTGCACATCATTTCTGAAATAAGTTAATTAGTAGGTCATATACGTAGAACTGGTTTCATAATTAACTTCACAAAATCATACACAAGCAAAGCCTTTTTCCCCCCCTTGTCACTAATACAATCGATTTAGATGTCATCCTTGTGATGGATTTAAAGTGGTCGTAAGATTGAGTTGGCTTTTCATTGACTCAGTCAGAAAAGATAGTGTTGCTTCTGTCTTTTAGACACTCCAAAAAGGAAAGTGATGTTACTTTTAAGAAAAATATGACGTATTCTTGGTCCTGCTTTCATCTTTTGTTCATTTCTGCTAGCTTTAAGTTCCTTGTACAGGATTCCAGTTGCTTTGTAATGTTTCTGTATATAAAAAAAGCTTGTAATGTTTCTGTATATAAAAGAAGCTTCTCTAACTTCAATAAAATTTGCTACTTGTATTGATAGTAGGTGGGGAATTATAAAATTGATGATGAGCTGCTCTCTCTCTCTTTCTCTCTCGCTCTCCTAAATATTTTTAAGTTATCCATACTTAAGTGTTTCAGTTTTGATATTTGTTATTTTAGGGTCAGGACAGTTACCTTTTGGATTCATTCCCATCCGTTCGATTTCTGCTAAAGTTGTTGAAACCAGTAGTTGCTGAAACTGCTCCTGAAAAAGCACCAAGCATCAGCCAGAAACTTCTTGCGCTGCGGAAGGATTTGCTTCTGTCACAGGATATGACAAAGAAAACTGATTCAAGCTCCTCTACATTAATCCAAAAGGTTTTGGAGACTTTTGTTAGCTGCAAGGATTTGAAGGCTAGCAATGCAGAGAATGATGACTTTTCTAGGCCAGAGTTGAATCCAAACTGGGTATCTTTGTTGACTCTTGAAAAGGCTTGCTTGTCTTCAATTTCTATTGAAGGTAAGGCGTAATTACTTTTTTTTTTTTATACATGCATTGTCATATTAATTTTTCATCTCTAGTTTTTGTAAGCACTCAACTTAAAGAGTTAGGATATGTTACATTTTCCTAGTCTGAGTCATGTCCTGGCTACCCAACCTTATTTTATTCTGCTCTTCACTACTTATAAATTTGGGTCTATTTCATTCCCATCTAGCTGAGGCTTTCCACTCTACATAACTCCTTTTCCTTGTGGAAGAAGTCTTCTGCTTGTCTTCTCAAATCTCAGCAATGACTAGCTGTTTGCTTATTGATGAGGCTTTCTATGTGGCACGAAATATTTGTTCGTCCACGTGTTCTTCTATTTTTTCTTGTGGGAATTGTATGGGGGTGAATGTCTCAAAGGGACTCCTATGTGGAACTCCCTTCCCTCTTTGGCCAATATTCCTTTGTTTTAGCTTCTCCCATCTTATTATGGAACATATACATTTTCTACACGGGATTTTGGTAAAATGAATTAACAAAATCAACATTAAAAGTTGTGAAAGAGTATAATTTATTTGGTAGGAGAAGATTCTACCTGTGTTTATGTATATTGCAATATTCGGGGCTTGTTTATTAGTGAAAAGTCAGAGCTATTTGTGCAGCTGTATACTGATATATGATTTTGTTTTGAGCCCCCAACCCAACCCACCCCCTCTTCCCACAAAGTTTAAAAAAAGAACTTTTTTTAATAAGACAAAAACATTCATAACCATCCACAATCTAAAATTATAAACTTTGTATACATCAGCTTGCACCTGATAGGACAAAAGCTAGAAAACTATCTTTCTATATCAGTAAAGACTAGAATAGACCCGGTCTACAATAACTTATTGTAGACCCAACCTTCTATTATACCATACGAATGTGATTATACCATACGAAATGTGATTATATTACTACAAAAGTGATTATATCATCCTGAAACTGTTGTGTAAATGTATCACTCAAAAAGTGAATTTATCATTATAAAAAGTATCAAATAGTAAATTACATCATTCAAAAGATGATTTTTAAATTTTATCATCCTAAAGATAATTATATAATCTCATTAATTCAAAATATGACTCACAAAAAGATAAATATATCGCCTAAAAAAGTGATTATATAATCCAGAATGTGATTATATAATTTGAAAGTGTCAAATTTTGGGTCTACAATAATTTATTATAGATCGGGTCCATACAAGACCAATTGATTCCTAGTACAACAAAATACTTATTTATTTCATAGTCATTATTTTTTTTAGCATTTCTACATATTAGTATTTTGTCATTGTTGTAGAATTCTCAAGCTTCTCTACAATTGAATACTTTTCTTAACTTCTTCCATGTTCTTTGATAGCTTTTCTTCTTTTGTGTACTCTCAGATACCACTGGCACAGTAAGGAAAACAGGTGGCAAGTTCAAGGAAAAGTTACGAGAGCTAGGGGGACTTGATGCAGTTTTTGAGCTTGCAATAAATTTTCATTCCACTTTGGAGGTGTGAGCTTGTATGTTTATTGCATCATTTGGTTTGTTATGCATTGAGATGCTGTCATCCTAATATGTAAAAAGTGAATTTTTTGTTTTGTGTGTGTGTGTGTGTGTGCGCGCGCGCGTGCGTGTGTGTGTGAAGCTGCAGTGCAGCGATTAACCCTTTTTGTAAAATAGTTTTATTGTGTGCACAATTTGTGTCTTATTGTTTCTTTTGTATTTATCTAAACAACTTATGATCACACCCTTATTGCGTGTCGCTGTACCATGAGAATTTTAGTACATTATGGGAGTTCTCACTATTTAGTTGGGTTACTGTAAATTTTTTCCTCTTTCGTTTATGTTTGGCTTGTTAATTGTATGAATTGGAAGCTAATAATTGTGCTATGATTTAATGGCTTTGTGTCTGGTTAACTGTTTACTTTGGTGAGCAAATTGTATTTTGTGAAAGTAAGTTTGTGATTAGTTATATTATTTTGTTTGGAGTTAATATTCAACAAAGCCCGTGAAGAGGGTGATTTCATATTCTGCAGAAAAAGTGTAATTGTATAATATATCAGTACATGTCTTGGCTGAAAATGAGACGGCATTGGTAACGTGGTTAAATAGATTCCTTGTTCTTAAATGTAGTTCCTTCTGTTAGGGGAGTAGGGAGTAGGATGTGGGTCAGTGAGCTAGTTATTAGCTAAGTTAGTTTGAATAATTGTTACATGATTTAATTTTAATACTTCTTATATGTTTTGCTGTGCTGTGATAATTTGACTTAAAATTCTCCTCCAGGATTCAATTGAGCATGTTACAGCTTCCACTAGGAAGTTAAAAAATGGAAAACTACAAAGTCTGCCACTGCTTTTGAAGTGCTTAAAGATTATGGAGAATTCAACATTTTTGAGCAAGGAAAATCAGGTAAATGATGTACTGTTGTTTACATTTCGTTTTCTCTGCTACTTCTTTCATATATTGAAGGCAAAAATACTCCTAAATTTTGAATATCCTTGAATTTCCAGTCTCTTGCACTTAAAATTTAAACTTTGTAATTCCAGAGTCACTTGCTTGGACTAAAAGGAAACTTGGCTGCTGGTCAAGGCTCTTCTTTATCCTTTGTAAAACTCATGATCAGTTTCATCAAGATTCTGTCAGGTATATTAGACAACTTGGTGATTTGATTTTTTTTTTTTTTTTTTTTTGGGGTAAAATCTTTCACTTGAAGGATCAGCCTTTCCATGTTGATATGATTTACCTAATGTTTCTTGTTTTTCATTCATGCGCAGAGCTCGCACTACTGAGAATTTCCTCCACAAACTCTAGTCCTGAAATGCCTACAAGTCATTCAAATGGGTCGGATCGTTATCGTGAATTTAATTTTAATGCAGAACAGAAAGGTAGCTGCTATATTCTTTAAATTTTGTGGGCTTAATCTGACTTTAGCGTAATAATTGCTTAATTTCTTGGGATCAGCTGTCTTTAACATAATAACTATAGAGTTAACTTGTAAAATTAGGTTTGTGTTATCAGCGTAGCTGTGTACATGACTTGATGTAGGTTTCCATAGAAATTGCCTTTATTTTTTTTTATAGAACATTCTCTTTTAATAAGTTTTTTTTTTCCTTAATGGCTTATTCATTTTATTTTTAATATTTCAGTGGACAGCAATGGGGTATTTTCCTTCCGTTCATCTCAAGAGTGTAGTAGCTCAGGAAGGTACTCTTCGGATACAGGTTTGAGTACATCCCAGACCAGCCAGAGATTGTCATCAAATTCTGGAGCTACAACAGGGTTTGGTGTGGGAAATTGTTTGTTAGAGAAAGCAGCTAGTTCCTTTGGATCTGGTTCATGCAGTCAAACATCAAAAAGCTCTAGTGTTGGAGCACCTGCAACCGCTCATAGTTCAAAAACAAAGCTGGCTCTTGCTAAAAGCCCATATGATGATGATGATGACATGTTTATAGATCTTGAGGACAGTCAAGATCCTTTTGCATTTGATGAAGAGGACCTTGCGCCCTCGAAGTGGGAAACGCTACGAGGGAGGCATAGAGGACAGCGCAAACAAAAAAGAAGGCCATCATTTAGAAATGCTGTGGAGGAATGTTTCTCCCTGCCAATGTTTAGTCAGGAAGACTCTGTATCTCAGACAATGTTAAGCCAAGAAGATTTTTGCAATGGCGAACAAAACGTGGGAAATCGTATTTCAAGTGACACTTCATGTACAACTGCTATTGACGAAGAAAACTCCGGCCTTGTTGCTGATTGCCTGTTGACTGCTATCAAGGTAAGATTTGTTGCTCAGTTTATGCCTACAATCTTAACAGTCTATTCATCGTTTCAATGCTGTACTCGACTATTTAAGTTGTATCTCCTTAATGATCTGTGTATGCCTTTCACCTGGAAAATCCTCTTCAAAATTCTTCTTTGCGCCAGGTTAATATTTTTAAAAAAAAAAAAAAGAAAATCATTTACATTTTTTTGGAAGTACAGCCTTGCTGATTCTATAGAATTTTGGCTGGTCTCCAATCAAGGACCAGAAAATCTGTCATATCTTGTGCACTTGACTCTTGCTTTGGAATTTCTGTTTATGGATTCAGCTGTTTCATGTACATATTTGTAAGATGGGATTTTAAGCCAAGATAGACCCTAAATTTTTTTTACAGGTGCTCATGAACCTGACAAATGATAATGCTGTTGGCTGTGAGCAAATTGCTGCTTGTGGTGGACTTGAAACGCTCTCATCTTTGATAGCAAGACACTTCCCTAAACTCAGTGTTTTCACTTCTAGTGAGAAAAAAGAGAAAACCTTGTTCGCTGGTACAACCATGGAACTTGAAAGTCAGACAGATATACATCTAAATGACCAAGAGTTAGACTTTCTTGTTACAATTCTGGGCTTGCTTGTTAATATGGTGGAGAACAATGGTGATAACAGGTTAGTTAGAATGAAAACTCCTGCTATTGGTTCCTGTTTCACCTACCTTGTTTCTGTTGATGCTAATGCTGTGTATTATCAAGCGTAAGATTTTCTTTAGTTGGTCATCTAATGATTAATTTTAGTAAACTGTATGTGAACCTTTGATGTGTTATTTATCGGGAGTTATGTAGTATATGCTGCCTTGAGATGTTAGGATTCATTGTTAGTGTGGTTATTTGGAGAGAAAACTTACAATTCTTTTCATTTTTATTCCATGTGTTGCCTGTATCTAACTTTTTTTGGTACTGTCTTGGTCTCCTGGTATCCTCTGAATTGTATGATTGCTAGATGTCTTGTTAATTAGAAATATGTGGAAGATATGTATCGATAGATGTGAATGTGCTATTTGGACTAGATTTACTCTTCCTTTTGACCCATTTCTGGTTAAAGAAATAATGTGTAGTTATTTGAAGTATTGTATTCCTATGTGGTTTTGGAGGTTTCTGTAGGACTGTAGCCATTACTATTAGGGTCAAGGCTTTGTTGTAAGTGTTATCAGCTTTCAAGTCAAATGTGAAGTAGTAATTTTAGAGTGTTCATATGTGTGGGGAGATTTTAATTTCATAATATAATTTGTGCATTACAAAAGAAGTGAAGATTTATCACCAAATTTGTATGATTGCAGAACTGGTTTATTAAGTTTCTCTTTGTAAAAACTTCTGATGAATTGTGATCAAAATTCCTTTCGCTGTGGAGATCATTATTTGTGGATGTATGCCATTTCAAAGTTTTACTTAATATATATCAGTATCTAGCTCCTTTGTCCTCAAGCCGAAGTTATGATGTATTTTGCAGATCGCGGCTTGCAGCGGCTGAGGTTTCGTTACAGGGATCAAGTCGGCTGTCTGAAGTTCATACTGGGGTGATACCGCTATTATGCTCCATATTTTTGGCTAATAGAGGAGCTGGTGAAGCAGCCGAAGAAGAACTTCAGTCTTTGGTGAGTGATAAAGCTTTTCCATTTTTAGTTCTCATCCTTTTTGCTTATCTTTCAAGTATTCAACTGTGGAAGCTGTCCTTTGGGGAGTTGGCTGGGGCAGAACCAATGAGTTTTCATTGCTTTTGAAGATTTTTTTTCTTGGAGATGGGAAGGGTGTGTTTAATTGCAAGTGCAAATTTGAAACAAACACTAGCATCTGGCATGATGCAAATGAATTAGCTGTTCAAAATGGTGGAAATGTAGAAATTAAAATTGACAGAAGTCATATTACTTGTGGTCAAAATGTTGATATGTATTATGTCTAAACATGGATATTTCTCCATTGTGCACAGGATGCTGAAGAAGTGGTTTTGCAAGGGGAGAAAGAGGCTGAGAAGATGATTGTAGAAGCATACGCTGCTCTACTGCTGGCATTTCTCTCAACTGAGAGGTTTTTTTTCTTCCCTTTGCTTTGTATATATGCTATGATTATGCTTCTTGTCTTAGTTCCTAGTATTGAAGGCATTTCTTTGATATAACCAGCAAAAGCATACGCAGTGCTATTGCAAATTATCTACCGGATCACAGCTTGAAAATTCTTGTACCTGTGCTGGAGAGATTTGTGGTAAGTTGATATAATGTTATTCCATTTTATTTTTGTTGGAAGGAGCGAAATTGAATTTAAATAAGTTCAGGACATTAGCTGAGAGCAACAGATGTTTTACAGTAAGTCAGTAACTGTATTTAATGTCGTACCATGATTTTTCTGACTACACAAACTCGTGGAATTTGCTTCCTCTCTCTTCCTGTTGCCATTCATATTGCTTTACAACCCTTTTAGTGATAAATTGACACATTAATCTGACTTGTTTTTTTTATCTTTGTTCCAGACGTTTCATCTGACATTGAACATGATCTCGCCAGAGACTCATAGAACCGTGAGTGAAGTAATTGAATCATGTACACTGCCTTAAAAAGCAAAAGAACCAGGGTTGTGTACAGGTTTCCCTGTTTTTATTGGTCGATAATATCTTAGTCTTGGTTGATTAAATGGTGATTAATGCCCTTGCTCTTAGGATCCTTTTGGGATTATCAACTCCAAAATAGCATAACCCCAAAATAGCAAAGAAGAAAAATCGATGTTTAATGGTCAACCGAGGTTGAAAATTGTAGTTTATGATTTAGTCATTAGCCACACTTTTCTTTTTTTTTTTTTTTTTTTTTTTTTTTTTTTCTTTTTTTTTTTTTTTTTCTTCAGGTTTCTGTATTTTTGGCGCTCTTGTAATTCTTTTATTTCACAGCAAAGTCTTAGCTCTATATCCCACCTTGTTTTGAGGATGAGGATAGCTTATAGTGTATACAAAGATGATGGCAATGTGTTAGAATCCAACTCCTTTTGATGTATTAGATTCCATTTAAGTGCTTTCCTAGAGTTTAGGTTATGTTTTCTTAGCTTGAGGTCCCATTATTGTGTTACTGTCAGATCAGTGTTCACTAGGGATTCTCCTTGTATGTCATTTAAAGCTCTTTAGAGGGCGAATGATTAATGAAATCTTAAAGCCTTCTACCAAGTGTTGCCTTGCTTTTATGCTTGTTGGTTGTTAGACCTTTATAGATATTGTGTCTTACTTGCATATTAGCTCCCCTCCAACCCAACTTGATGCGCTAAGGACTCGTGGTTCGGACCCGCTTGTGCCCGCTTTGAAGTATCGGTCGTCACAAGCCCCGACCACCCGCACTCTGTCGTCCAGATAGACGTGAGTGCTCCTGAGATTCTATTGCCCGCTTGTGTTGCTTTGTGCTCACAAGCCCCTCTTCCGCTCAAGGCTAGCGTTCTTGCCGCCAAAAGGCTAGAGCGCGCCGCACGTTTCGGGGTCCAAACTCCCGGACCGTGACACAATGCCTATAATCAAAAGTTGTAATGTGTAATTGCTCTCCTTGCCCTTGTAGCATCGTATTGGTTTCATCTCTTTTGTGTATTACGCAATTTACTCTTACTCCCTCAATCCAAGAATACGTCAATTATGTTTGGTTTGTATTGATGTCATATTATCTAACTAATAATAGATGATAGTTTAACCGAGAATAATACAAAAGGCTTCCCTCCCCCATTTTCTCTCATGTCCCTTGATCACTCCCTTCCCAGCACAACAATGTGTCAACGACTCAGCATCTCCTGCTCTTGCTCATCACCCCTACCGGCCTCCTTACACTGCTAGCAATGCCGTCAGCAGTTGAGTGCATTGCATTCAATTCAATGAGTTGTTTCTCTAAATTTACGATGGGGTATAATTTTTCCAAAGGCTGAGAATTACCTGAAATGGCATAGTATATAGTATATAGCATATGTAATACGTCATATTCCATTAAATTTGACAACGAACTGCTGTGATGAAAAGATTTAAACAATGATAGGATATGATTCAAAGTGTTCAGAAGGGCATCTTCTTCGGCAAAGATCTTTTTAACACAAAAAAGACAAGTTTGCGCAATCAAAAGTAGGATGGGAGTATCTGTCTTTACCCACAAAGCTATTTACTTCTCTTTATCATGTTTCCTTAGCATGGATACACAAGAAATACTGAGGGAGTAAGAAAGAGACCTTAGAGATGTCTAGGTGGTCGACAATTCCAAGGAGATCATCGACAAGATCCTTAAACGTCGCCGTTTTAGGATTAGTGGGTTGGTGCAATGGCTTTAAAACCAGCATTTGATAAACCAACCATCTGATGACGCCACGTGTACCATATTTCAGGTAACCCATGTAGTAGAATCACCACCGTTGATCCTTATCATATATTATCACATTAGGATCAACGGTGGTGATTCTACTACATCATGTTAGAAAGAAAGAGGAGAGAGAGAAAGTCATACCAGTTCCAATTTCAGCAATGTGAAACTTCAATCCTCTTACTTCAATGCGGCTGTGCTGAATTTGGTCCATCTTTTGACTTTTAACTCTAACTAACATGCACTCTTTTGCTTTCTTCTTACACCTATTAACCTATTTAAATACTCAAATAATGAGTACAATAGTAAAAAAAAATATTCTCTTCGTTTTTTAAAAAAATCTAATGTAACTCTATTTATTATATGATTAAAAAGGAGTTGGAATAATATTTTAGGGAATACTTTATCATAAAAATAATATAAAAGATTTGGAATAATATTAATATATTTTTGTAGTCAAATCAAATATTCACCCAAAAAAAAAAAAGGTTAAAAGGAAAATGAGAGTTTTGGAGGAAAAAAAATAACACCAGGATGTGACATGTGTCACTCTCAGTATCTATTTTAGTATTAAGTTATTGATTAAGGGACAGATAGAGTACTAACTTGGTTAAGAATGATTGTTGATTTTTCGGATTTTACATTTTTTTTTCTTGAAATACGGTGATATTTAATAATCAGTCTAATTTTGTATGTTAGCTTGTTTGTTTTTTAAAAAAAAAGTAGTACAAGTAGTATAATTTAAGGTCTGTTACTGACTCAGCTGAACTGAACTGAGCTGAACTGAAATGAATATTTTATAAGAGAAGGAAATTAGGAGCTAAACTGAACTGAACTGAATTGAAAATAAACGTATGAGAACGGACCCTTAGTAAAACCACAAGTACTAATCGAGTAAGGGTATGTTCTCTTCAGCTTAGTTTCCGTTCAACTCCAATCAATTCAATTCAGCTAGGTTCAGTAAATTAAAACATGCCCTAACAATGCTACTCGAGTATAATTTAGTAAAACCACAAATACTAATCGAGTAACAATTAGCATTGTTCATCGATCTAAGACCGGACCGGACCGGACCAAACCGACCTGAACCTGCAAATCGAAGACCTAAAATTTTAATTTCAAGAACCGAAGATCAAACCGATTAAGCTAAGACCGAACCCGGACCGAACCGAAAAAATCGGGCCAAAACTCGGAGTAGACTGCTTTAGACCAATTTTAGAATTTTATTTAAAAAGATGCTAAATTTTTAATAATATTATAGAAAACTCGAAAAAAGTATAGGAAAAACTCTAGTTTAGCATCTTTTTTTTGTATGTTAAGTAAAAAAAAAAAGCTCATATAATTAAAGTTTTCAAAGGTTATTAAGAATAATATTAACCATTATCTAAGATTTTATGCATAAATTTAAGAAAAATATTAGTCCGGTCGAAGACTAGTTTTTATGGGGTTTTGGACTGGACCAAAGGCCCGGAAAATAAATTATTAGATCCAGAGACCGGACTGGTTAATTCGGTTCGATCCGATCCGATCCGAGGTCGGTCCAGGATTTTTTTCAATCCAAACCGATTTCTGAACACCCCTACTAACATTGCTACAAAGTATGTCTTTTTGTGTTGGGTTGTGTTGTGTTGTGTCATGGCCACAGTTTTGGCTTAACGAGTGGCATCTTAGAAGGGTGAAGTGGTAAATTCAAAGTTGTAAGATTTTCCCTCCATTGGGCAGTTAACTTTCCGCCGGAGATCCACAAAATTTATTACAGCACCCAGTAATAAAACACTGCGTCACCACTTTATTTCAAAATCTTTCTTCCAAAATTAAAGATAAATTAAAATAAAGACAAGATCAATCAACCGTATTATTCGCTCCATTGCTCAAAAAAAAAAAAAAAAAAAAAAAAAAAAAAAAAAAGTAGATAATTAAACTAAGGAGAGAGAAAAAATCGCAGCTGAATTATAGAGAGAGAAAGTAGAGAGAGAAAAAATGGTGAACAAGTGAAGTATAGCAGAAAAGTATCAACTCCAATGCGATCGAGCAAGATCATACTTCTCAATTTTTTCATTTTTATTTTTCTGGTAAAAGTTTATTATGATTGATTTTTTTTTGAATTTAAGAATTCGGCTGAAATTTTAGCTGAATTTGATTGTCTGAGTTTTGATTTTGAATTGAAGTTCAAATTTTGAGATCAGATCGTTGAGTAATTTTAATTTCTGATTGAAGATCTGGTTAAGATTTTGGGAATTGCTATTGTTTGATTAGCTACTGATATGCACAATTCTTAAAATTCGATTTTTTTGGGATTTTTTTACTTGGTTTTAGTTGTAGAGAATCATGATTATCTGCAGATTCGATTTGATTTTTATGAAAATTTGATGAATTTGGATATGATGTAATCGAAAATCAATTCGAATTTAATGCATATACTCTCCAATTAGAAAATTTTGATATTCGATTTTACGCTACTTGATTTTCTACCAAATGTTCGACATATGACAATTGGTAGCTCACAGCTAATGACGTTAGATTACTATTATTTTTTCGTCGAAAATGGTAAAACAATGGAGTCTTGAGTCGATCAGTGTAATTAATGTTCGAGTTTGTACTAGCTGGAGCTAGTAGTGGAGTGAGTTAGTTATGAACATTATATGTTGCGCTGTTCTAGTTTGTAAGAAAATTTTTCTGTTCCACTACTAATTTAGAGGTAGGAGTAATTTTAATTTTTTTTTTTTCTGGGTTATGCATTTGTATGAATCTGTTTACAGTCTTGAATTTTCGAGTTGTAGTTAAAATTCAGTGTATATTTACTTAATTTCTTTTCGGTGTTCATGTCATTTACGAATATACACAGGTTTTTAGATTGGTATGCTAATGTTTTAACAAATATTTGGAGAAAAATTGGGTGTTATATAAGTATATTGTAGTAGTATGTATGAATTTTATTGAGCTTGCAGTTTTTCTTCAGTGTTAAATAAGCTAATTCCTAGTTACTGTATATGATCAGGGGTTAGTATAACGAATAGAGGAGCAGCAGATTATGGCAGACTTGGAAAACTTACTCCTAGAGGCAGCTGGAAGAACTGGAGGATCAGGTAGAAGCAGGCACTCGGCTCCTTCATCAAGAAGGCGACGTGAAAATGCCTATTCAGATGATGGGAGTGACTCCAAGGATGAGGATTCGGATGACAATCGGGGTTATGGAGGAAGGAAGTCCAGTGGACCCCAAGTCCCATTGAAAAAGAGGGGTAAAGACAGAGATGATGATCAGGGCAGTCAGGATGATGAGGAGGGTGGGGAAGGTTCTGGTCGTGGGGGTGGGGGTGGGGGTGGAAGTGGGGATGATTCGGATGTTGGGAGTGATCTATACAAGGACGAGGATGACAGACAACAGCTTGCTCAATTGACTGAGCTTGAGAGAGAGTTGATCTTATCTGATCGAGCAACGAAGCTAGATGATAAGAAGTTGCATGAAAGAGTTAAATCAAGGTGGAAGAATGACAGTAAGCCTCAACCTAAGAGAGAAAGTACTCCTCCTTTAGCTTCCTCTCGTGGGGTACGTACATCTGCAAGGTCTGCTGACCGAGCAGCTCATAAGGGCGATAAGGCTGAAGCTTTGAATGAGTTGCGAGCAAAGAGGATGAGGCAACAGGGAAATGATGCAGCCAGAGATCGTTCAGGGTCCCGGGGTTACTCACCTGTCAAAAGAAAAGCTTTTACCTCTACTGGTCTGAGCAGCTCAAGCCAGAGCGACAGTGAAAGTGATTCTCAGAGTGAAGATGGGAGATCAAAAAGGGGTGGGAGATTAGATGATAGTGATGATGAGATGTCTAAGCCCAAGTCGAATATCCCCACGTATGAAGACATCAAAGGAATTACAATTAGGAGGTCAAAGCTAGCAAAATGGTTCATGGAGCCTTTCTTTGAGGAGTTAATTGTAGGTTGTTTCGTAAGAGTGGGCATTGGTATGAAGTCTGGGCAGAGCATCTACAGGTTATGCATAGTCCGGAATGTAGATGCTTCAGACCCTGATAAGCAATATAAGCTTGAAAACAAGATGACTTACAAGTACTTGAACTGTGTGTGGGGTAGTGAAAGTTCTGCTGCTAGGTGGCAGATGGCTCGAGTTTCTGACTCTCCTCCTCTTGAAGAAGAGTACATCCAGTGGAAGAAAGAGGTGGAGCGCAACAGTGGAAGGATGCCTACTAGGCAAGAAGTTTCAGAAAAGAAGGAAGAAATCGAAAAAACAAACTCTTTTGTTTACTCTGCAGAAACTGTGAAGCATATGTTACAGGAGAAAAAATCTGCTGCAACAAGGCCCTTGAACATTGCAGCTGAGAAGGAAAGGCTGAGAAGAGAAATGGAAGCAGCACAATACAGGAATGATGAAGCTCAAGTGGCGAAAATTAAGGCTAGGTTAGAGGAACTGGCAGCTGTTCGGCTAGCACAGGATAATAAAAATTCCAAGGCGCACAGACTGTCAGAGATGAATAGAAAGAATAGAGTTGAAAACTTCAAGAATGCATCAGAAGTGAAGCCAATGAACGCTAACCTCAAATCGGGAGAAGCTGGTTATGATCCCTTCTCTAGGAGGTGGACTAGGTCTATTAATTATTATTCTGCAGGTGATAAGAACAAGGCAGCTGGTGGAGCTGAAGAAAGTGCCGAGATCAAGGGAGGAGAGAAGTCTGGAGTTGTTGCCACAGTAGCAGCCTTAGAGGCTGCCGCTGATGCTGGAAAGTTGGTGGATACAATGGCCCCTGTGGACCAAGGGACAGAATATAATATGCTGCACAATTTCGACTTACCAATCTCATTGAACACACTGCAGAGGTTTGGAGGAGTGCAGGGTGTTTTATCAGGATTTATGGCTAGGAAGCAAAGGCTTGAGGCAACAATGGGACTTCAAGTCCCAGAGAATGATGGTCGTAGACATGCATTGACTCTGTCAGTGAGTGATTACAAAAGGCGAAGAGGTCTGCTATGAGTTAGTGTTTGCTTAGTATCTGTTCATGTTGGACATTTGGTTTATACCCAGGACAGAATCCCAGATGGGTTTATTGATGGGTTGTCCAACTATTGTAAGTTTGTAACATTAGAATCCACACACACTATTTATTTTCCATTATGATCTAATAACCTCATACTCGTATTTCTGTAGTGCTCCAAGCCTATAATGTCTCTGGTGAACTCGTGTATTAACTGAGATGGACTCAATTCAGGTTATAGTGGTATTACTTCTTGTGGTATTCATCCTCATTCCTAGCTTGTTTTTCAACAGCTTTTCGCTTGCTTGTATCATAGTTGATTAGTTGAAAACTCGTAGAATGATTATTCAGCATGAAATTTTTAGTACTATTTTATACTATTCGTTTACTTCTTATATCTTTGCTTTAATCAATGATTCAATTGGCGTTCTGTTTCAGCCTTTCAGGGTCATGGATTTCTTGAAGACTACTAATGAAGATGCTTCCCAGTTCACCTGTGCAACAATGCTGTTAATTTGCTATGACAAAATTTTCCCTTGGTGCGATGCAGGAAAGAAATACGAAGTACCTAGTAAGAAGAAAAACTCAAAGCTCTATGTCCATGACTTCAATGGAGGTTGTATAAGCAATATATACCCGCGAGTGAGCTCACCCCTTTTTCAGTCAAAAATGCCCCCCTATGAAGTCACAGCAATTCCAAAGCATCCCTTTCGAAATGCATCTATCATCCCTGGACTTTACATGGCTATATTTCTCGAAATACAGGAAAAACAAACGTTGCAGTGTGCTAAACTGCTAATCACTTCTGTTACAAATGTCAACCTAGGAGCAGTTTTCTTGTGTTTGACTGGGTACAAGCGCACAAAAAGGCCCATTACTTTTGACATAGAACCAGTTCAAGGAAATTCTAACCTACTATATGAACATACACCAGAGTTAGAGCGTTCTGAAGGGAATTTGAGGAGGAAAACCTGCTTTGGTGGCTTTCGTTTAAGTACAGTAAACTATAATAAGAATATATATATACAGATGTGTAGTGAATCAGGGATGCTAAACATGATTTTCAGCCTTAGTTCCATAACAACTTAGAGCTCCTTTTGAACATCACCAACCGAACTCTCTGTCTGCCTCACTGCCTGTCTACTGAAGGATGCATAGCCTACATTATTTTACGCAGCGAAAAGGTGAAATGAAACTTGCAGTGGATATATCCTCTTACTTTGAGTCTGTGACCAACCTTCTGCTGGAACGAAATCAGGAATTTCATAGAAAATTTTATCTACTCTGATAACCCTACCAAATTAATGAAGTGCAAAAACTAGTAAACAATTAGCCTATCCTTATAAGTTATAATATATGGAGAAAAACAAGTGTGAGGTATAGCTCAAGTGTTTAGATTACCCCTTTCGATTCCAGAAGATTTTGAGATCGATTCTCATTACCTTAAAGGAATAGAGTATGGATCCTTATGTTACATCGTTACATGGAATAAAGTATTAGTCGTAAATTTTAGTACACATTAATGATATTATGGAGAAAAAGTAACCTCGGACAAGCCAAAGTATTCTATTGTCACTCAATGTTTCCCCAAACTTAGAGCTCGAATAAGCTAAGAAAAAGTCAAATCATGCATGCCTAAAACAAACAAGTTGAAAAGGCAAAGGGTCAAGCTCATGTCACTCTATGATTAGTTTGAAATATCTAACAATTAAAACGATGATTTTTAAATTTAATTCCATAAATATAATGATGGGGATAGGATTTTTTTTTTCCTTATTAATTTTACTCTTAAAAATTGTTTAAATTTAGAAAATCATGACAAAAACACATTAATTACACCGATTTGCGCGTGTTTTTGTCATGAATTCCTAACTTTATACATTTTTCAAGAGTAAATTCAATGCTTATATATAGCCCTTAGGGCTATGTATAGCATTACCCTAATTTTAATTACATAAATTGATAGAAATTGTTGGGCAATATCTTTCAATTTAATTAGGTGGCATTTATGGTAATCATGTTTTAACGACTATGTCTCAATATTTTCAAAAAAAAAAAAAGTACGGTAGTATTGTTTTTATTATTGCTTGGACTAATAAAATAAAATGGAAACAATTTTTTTTTTTGTGAAATTATATACGTAGTATAAAATGTCTTTCATAAAGCTTAGGTATGTGTCAATGTGTCATCACAATTTCAAAATATATGGTTAATAAATTATGTCATCACTATTTCAACTACATTTCTTATTTTTTAAACCAATTTTTTGATATGTGTATTGCGCATGTTAAAAAAACCTCATATATTGCCTTGATGGAATTGCTATTTGTTACAATAAATTACAAGAATATCTATTCTTAGATAACTAATCGACATAGTAGGTAGAAAATTACCTTAAACTAGTATTCCTCATTAGAATTTGCCCTTTCCATATATATACCATTTTTTATAAGATTTACCTTAAACATTTGGTTATTTGTAGTGAAAAAATTATAATTGTAGTGAAAAAATTATAATTGTAGTTCATGTGCCTTAAAACACAAGTTAGACATAGGGTCTATTCACATTTACTTAATTTCAATTCAATTTAGTTCAGCTTATTTCAGCTCTTAATTTCCATCTCTCATAAAATATTCATTTCAACTCAGCTTCAGTTCAGTTCAGCTCTAATCAGTTCAGTTCAGTAAATGTGAACAGGCTCATAAAAATACGACAACAATGAATATACCTAAGTTTAATCGGCAATTAGGACATGATTTCAAGATACCTCATGTAATTATGAAATAAACTATACATTGTACAAATTATTAGTCAATAGAACAAATCACCTGATTGAAATTCTCCTATATCATAACAAATTGAATTATGAAGCCACCTATGCTTGCTTAACTAGATGATACCTTATTTTTTATTTTAAAGAAGTTGATCCCTTATTATTGTTTAAATGATATAGTCATATATGGTCATTAAAATAATAGACAAGTCAAGATCACGATTAATTCAATTAATCTTATTAAGTCAACTTTGGTATAAGATAATAAATTTTCATTACCCTACTAAATAAATTATTTAATTAAATATTTTGATTGTGATATAAGAATATTTCCAAATAAAATTATGGCATGAGCCTTGCGTCTCATAGTTTCTAAGTTAGCTTAATCCTAATCCAATAATTCTTTTAATTTCACACTTACTATAAACATCTTTTGCGCGCCTACTTATGAAATACACTAAAATCATCATTTTTACACCCTTCTAATTCTCTTACTAAAATCTTGTAAACACCCATTTATTTTTATTTAACCAAAAACTTGAAAAAAAAAAATAACACACAAAAACCATGGATAAACCACCTACTCATTGTACTAGGAATGATGATTTCTCTAAACTTCAATCTCTATTTTCTAAAAATCTTCCTAAAAAACCAATTAATCTTTGCTTCCCTACTTCGATTTTCGCCATTGTTCTTCTTTTAATTCTTGGGTATAATTCCTTCACTATATTCTATTTTATCCCAATTTTTTCAATGGAAAATGTTAAAGAAACAGAGAAAAATATGCCCATTTCTCAATTATCCTCATCTAGAGCTAATTTTGCTATGAATGATGAGAGTTTTCCTATGTTTTCGACGAAAACCCATGTCAAATCTCCCCATAATTCTCCTAAATTCACTCACTTAAGTCCTAAAATGATCCGAAGAGTTAGACAAGTGATCAAACCTCCTTCTCAAGAGCCTCTTCATGATGAAATGAGATCATTTTCGAAGCGAGTGAGGCGATTTTTCGATGAGAATTCGTGCAAGTTTCGGGTGTTTATGACATGGATATCGTCGATTAAGTCTTTTGGAGACCGTGAAAAGTTCACCATTGAAAGCCTCTTTAAGTTCCACCCAAATGCTTGTTTGATCATAGTGTCAAATTCAATGGACTCAAACAGAGGATCACAAATTTTAGAACCCTTTGTAAGGTTGAATTACAAGGTAATGGCGGTTTCGCCCGATTTTAAGTTCATATTCAAGAATACAATGGCTGCCATTTGGTATCAACAACTAGAAAAGGGGAATGTTAAGCCAGGAGAAATTTCATTAGGCCAAAATCTTTCGAATTTGCTTAGACTTGCTCTGCTTTATAAGTATGGTGGAGTGTATATGGACACCGATTTCATTGTTATAAAGAGATTAGACACTCTAAGGAATGTGATCGGAGCACAAACCGTTGATCCAAAGACGAAAAATTGGAGTAGATTGAACAATGCTTTGATGATATTTGATAAGAAACACCCTCTTTTGATCAAATTTATTGTGGAATTTGCACTTACTTTCAATGGTAACAAGTGGGGGCATAATGGTCCTTATCTTGTTTCAAGGGTTGTGGAGAGGGTAACCAATAGTAGCACGAAAGGCGGTGCGAATGAATTTACGGTTTTGCCCCCGTCTGCGTTTTATGTCGTGGGTTGGGGTAAGGTTGGTGACCTATTTCAAAAGCCCGTGGATGAACTTCATCAGAAGTGGCTAGATGATAAGATTGATCAAATTGAAAGAGATAGTTACGCGATTCACTTGTGGAATAGGCAAAGTAGAGAGATTAAGGTTGAAGATGGAAGTATAATCAGTCAATTGATGAAGAAATCTTGTGTTTTTTGCAATTTGTCAAGAACAATCTCTTAAATTGGTACAAATGAGGTAATCTTGGATGCTTGTATCAATAACTATTTGATCATCCAATTGCTATCAAATATGAAGTATTATGGTAACTTATCAGATGATGAAAACTTTCATGATTCGTCTAATTCATAAGTCATGCTATTTTGTAACTTTTGGGATTTAAAATCCTTTGTAAAACATTAGTTGTAATTAAATAGTTTTTTTTTTCTTCCTTAAAAAAGTTGGAAAAGAATATTGAAAATAAAGTTAAGACATTGAGCATCTTTTGGTGTGAATTTTTTTTTTCAATACTTGCTATGTTTAGTTGAAGATTTTGTCACATATAGTATTTTTATAGCAATGTTGTCAACATAGCGTGTCAATATGGTGGCTTGCAAATTGCAACATAGGTCTCAAATCATTTTCATTATGCATTATTGTTGGAGTTTAATTGGGATTTCATCTTCATGCTAAGTAGATATAGTGTATTGTAATTAATTGGTCTTATCTTATCCTAAGAGTAATTTGACAATAAATCAATAATGCTTAATTTAATTGCTTACCATGTTAGTACTATTTGAGATTATTCCCCACAATCTTTTTCCCATTAGTTTTGTTCTCCTTACCTCACATTTCGTATCAAGTTTAAATTATTCTTACTAATTTAAACTTATTTTTATTAATTAGAAATTATCTTTATGCATGCATTCGCGTTTGTATTTTTATAAAATAATAAAAACACTGAATTTACTTGATTGAAAGCTATACTACGTAGTACGTATTACTAATACTACGTATCAATGACAAAGAAAACAACACCTAAGTCATCACACCCATTTTACTTTTTTGAGTAACACAAAAAAACATAACAGGCCAACAAATTAAGAAGCTTGTTGCCCTACTAATTGGGCGATTTGGCGCCTCAAGCTAGCTCTACTCCTAACTCCTAAGGGAAGATCATTTCCTATATTTCTTGTGATCAAACTTATCGCATTAATAGGATTGGAAATGTATATCCCTACCTTTTAAAAAGTATGTAATAACTCTTATGAATAGGATTTGGACAATTTTAACTTCTAAAATGTTGCTTCCAAAAAAAAAAAACTTCTAAAATATTTATTTACTTAATTACCCCCATTAATGGTAATTAGCTCTTTTTTTAAGCTTTTAAGAATAGTGTGCAAACATTTATACCCCTGAAAATATTTTTTAACATATTTTTCATCATTAATGCTACTAACAAATAAAGTTGTTATGTAATATCAAATCGAAAGAGTTTCCTCAACATTGCTAGCTATGGTAAAATTATCATTAAAATCGGCCACCCTAGTTATGGTAAAGTTATCATTAAAACAAAAGGTCAAACAATCAGAAATCTTATTTTTCCCTTATATGAATACTAGTATGACATAGGTTTTGTTCTCTTCATCTTATCCCTGTTACTTATATTATTCTTGTTTATATCATATTAGAACAAATGAGACGACAATATTATAAAGATACTTAGTCTAGTCTAAGTTAAAAATTAAACTTGGCCAAACCTGGCGGCTAGGATAATTCAAATTATGCTAGACCATAACAAATAAACAAGGCCAAGCCATATTAGAACTGAAAAACTTCAAGTCAAAACACCTTAAACAATTTGAAGAGGACAAAGGCATATATATTATATAGTAAAAAATAAGAATGCGAGATATTGGTTTATGACATTAGCTTATTTTGAAAGTATTGTACTACAAGTTACATAAAATGAAGTATATGATAATAATTGAATGATAAAATTAAAATTTGTCACACACCCACACCTATGATAATCATATACTTCCTCCGTTCTTTTTTTACTTGACTCGCTTTGATTTTTACACTATTCACCACCCCTTTTTTGACCGTCTTTTGTGAATAATATATATAAGGTAAACTGGTAAAACATATTCATGTGATATCTTTTTGAATTTGTTTCAATAAGTAATATCATAATATATAACTTTTATAATTTTTATTTATGGAGAATTAAAGTTATTGATTATTAAAGTTTTACATTGATAAGCGTGATAAAAGAAACAGGTCAAGTAAAAAAAAAGTAAAGAACGGAGGAAGTAAATATTAAAAAGTGACAACAAAAACACAAATTATTTTTTTGTTCTAAGTTTTCAAATTTATTAAAAAGGACGAATTTGAATAGGCATTGTACCTTATATTCCTCGTTTTATTTATTTTTGATGGTGATTTTTGCAGATAAAGTATGTAAAACAATACAATAAAACTAATTTGGTGATGAAATGCTAGCATATGGTCATATAAAATATGAAGATGCATCCGTTGAAAGTATAAGTTCCACTAGGTAAAACACAAAAATTTTGAGATTTTTAACAAAGAATAAAACAATAAGTAATACAATAGTACTATAGTAGTTATTAACGTTGTGTTTGGAAAAAAAGGTCGTACAATTGCATGGTATGGTGTTGGCCTTTGGACAGCTCATTTCGTCTTTTAATTAATTAATTATACTATTAATTAATTTCAATTAAAAGTAACGTCTTATTACAATGTACCCATTTTTATTTAAATACATGTATTCATGGAGTAATTTGATGGAGACGTGAGCATACAAATATATATTATTGAAGTATAATCCAAAACTTAGGAATATAATCTTGTTAGCACTGCCGGCTAGCGCCACCCATGACGATAATAAAACGTATATTTAGTTGCTTTTTTTATGTGGATATGGCAAATATATACTTCAACTCGAATGTTAAGAAAGATTACACTATATTCCAACGGTGTAAGGAAACAAAAAACAAAAAACAAAATAATGCGTGGTTAGTGAGATGTGGCCAGAGTTTGTTATAAATGAAGTATGCTGCTTGATTTGCCTCTCAAAACCAATTTGTCTCTCTAAAACAATGAATGGTATTTTGTATTGTTAGTTAATGGAGTTGATGACATAAAGGTGGCCACTTTCAAAGTTACGATTATCAAATATTTGAACCTAAGAGCTAAAGAGTCCATTTCATAGCTAAAGAGTCGATGCTTTCGCGTTTAGAAAATTTTATTTTAAGTTTATTGTTTTGAAATCTTTCTTCCCAAACGTATATGTGCTCTGTATATGTATATGTATATGGATTGGAAATTTTGGAATACAATTAATTTTTTCAATAATCTCTCTATTTCATATACATGGGTTAAGAGGCTAGAATATATGTCTTCTTTTCAGATTCACGGAACAAGACCTTTTTTTTATTGTTGAAACTCTAACATACGCATAAACTATACCTAAATGAGTAAATGTTGACATATACATGTCAATATTTGACTCCTAACCTTATACATATTGAAAGCTAGACCAACTTTTAACTTCAATATTTTGATTCCTTCATCACTAACATATACAAGTAACAACTAACAGGTAACAAGTACTCCATGTATGAATTGTTTGGGTGCCAAAACGATTCTCTATTTGGAGCCTTATTTCTCAATTGGGCCACAGCCCAATATGCGTAAGTCATGTCCAGTGCAAGCAAATCATCCCAAAAGGCCATAAATAGATCACTAAAAGAGCCCATGCGCTCAAGACATGACACGTATTAATGTATAGTCCCTCCGTTTTTAAATACTTGCTTTATTTCTATACACGCGGAATTTTTGGAGAAATTGAAGAAAGTAATAAAATATGAAGACAGTGGGGTAATTTGAAAAATAAAAAATTATAAAAAGCAAAAGTAGTGAAGATAATTGGGGGAGAGAGAATATGAAATTAATAAAATATGATTTATGTTAGATCCAAAGTCCACTAGGTTTAAATATTATAAAAGATTTTTAAATAAGGAAATGGAGGAAGTATTTAAAAATGGTCGAAAAAGAAAAGTGGAGTAAGTATTTTAAAAACACAGGGAGTATATCCAAAACGCCCTATATTATTTACTTTCCCATTAGTATAAGTAGTCCAATTTATGCCATAATCAGATATCCACAATTAGCCTCAAGTAATTACTCTCTTGCACAGCATTTAATACTTTCAACTTGTATTAAAGATTTAACTTAGGCATCGAAGGGGCGTTTCTCGGACAACCTCCAAGGCTAGTTAACATGATTAGATGTACAAGAAACCCTCACCCCAAAGTCAATTGGAACGAACCCTGTCTTCAACCCATTGGACTAAGGACCCTCTTTGGTCCATACTGTTTATACCAAAACATGAAGCATTGGAGCACAATTAATTTTTCTACCTCTCTAATATACCTCATTACATTAGGTATGAGAGATTGGAACATGGCCTTCTACTTGAGATTCATGGAAACTATTGGTTGAAACTTACTGTAACATATGTAACTCCTGAGTTATGTTTTCTTGATAATAAAAAGAAGCTCCTACATCTGTGCGATAGTACATACCAAGTACTATGTAGTAGGACTTTAGGAGTTCAAATTTCACAATCTTTTGCTTATTTTGTGACATCTATTGTCACATTTAGTACAAATCGGATCTTTGATTTGAGGTTCAAACTTTGTAAGAACAAATGTAGGATTATAACATATAGAAAGAATGTGCCATACATGAAACCAATCCTCCAAACTTCTTCATTTAGAGGTATCCACATCAAAGCAACTTACATTAAACTCACTCACACTTGATGAAGCAACCCCTAACCCCCCGCCCCCCTCTCTTTTTCCTTGTTCTCAACATACTGCAGCTGCGGTTTAAACTATTGTTTTCTCATCATCCGTAAAGAATAATTGTATAACCTGCTTTGATTCGTACCAAACAACCTTTTAGGCGTATCACATGAGTTGATGCCAAACTCCAAAAAAGAATCCCCAAAGCTTATCATATCCTGTTCTATAAACACTCTGTAGTCCCTGGTCCCTGTAAGTAAATCCTCGTCTATGAAGTCTCACTGGACACATGGTGAAAACGAAGCAATGAACTATGCTCCGTTTGGTTCCTTGGGCACAAGGCTCACGGTGTCTGCAAGCTCCATTTCACCTGATCCTGGGAGTTTATCTTCATCAAACATCACCTCGATCTCTTCCAGAGATTTCCCTCTGGTTTCAGGCACACACTTGTACACGAATACAACAGACAAGGCTGAGATGACAGCAAATACAAAGAAGGTTCCAGCCACGGTGATTGCATGGGCAGCTGAAAGGAAGGACATCGAGATTAGGCCACTGCTGACCCTACTTCCAACAGCCCCAAGACCTGATGCCTGAGCTCGAAGCCTAAGAGGGAAAATTTCTGAACTCAAAACCCAGCAAATTGGACCAATTCCTACTGAAAAGAAGGCCACATTTCCACAAACAAACAGCAAAGCCAATCTAATACCAATTGGCTCATGCCCGAGTAAGGCTAAGCTTAGGCTGAGCCCTATCAAACAAACAGTCATTCCAACTGTGCTCACATAAAGCAAAGGCTTTCTACCTAGATGATCAATGAGATATATAGCGATTAAGATACAGAAAGTTTTTGTAAATCCGACAGCCATTGTTGCAGCAAGAAGCTCTGTGTTGCTACTTATTCCAGCATCTTTAAATATTGTAGGGCTGTAATATACAACAGTGTCAATACCCGTTATCTGCTGGAAAATCTGAATTCCACACCCTGCAATTAACATCTTTCTAACAGCTGGAGTTGGATGTAAGAGTTCCTGCCAAACTGATTTTGTTTCATACTTGTCAGCATTTGTGGTTCCTGCAGCTTGCTGTATATCTGATAATTTCTCCTCTACTTCTTTTTCGTTATCAATAGTTTTCTGAAGAACAACCTTTGCTTCATCAATACGATTCTGCATTACCAGCCATCTAGGAGATTCAGGGATGATTAAGAGTGCACCACCGATGAAAATGGAAGGGAGAATCCCAACACCAAGCATTATTCTCCAATTAATATGAGCAGGAAGCCCCGAAAATACATAATTTGAAATGTAACCCAATAGAATACCAAAGTTTATGAAGATCTCAGGAAAGGATGTTAATGATCCTCTAGCAATTGCTGGTGCTATCTCAGCTATGTAGACAGGAGCTATCATGATACCAAAGCCAATTCCTACTCCAGCAAAAAGCCTTCCTGCGAGTAACACCCCGAAATTTGGTGCTAATGCCATTATACCAGCCCCTACTTGAAAAATCATGGCTGCTAATGCCATTGTCCATTTCCTACCTATGGTGTCAGACGTCTTTCCACCGGCTAAACTGCCTAATAACGAAATTATGCTTAGGATTCCGACGAGGACTTCTATTTGAACATCTGATATTTTCAAGTCCTCTTGAATGAATATAACTGCTCCACTCATCACCCCAACATCTAAAACAAAAATTTGCAAACATTAACTTCACTTGATCACTTCTAGATGAAGCATGACAACAACAGTTCAAACTGCATCAGTGCTGAAATCTTCTTTAACAGCTCTAACTTGATAGCTGTTTAAACTACTTCTACATAAAAATAGACTCCATACTATATTAGTATATTACTATGTTCACTTGAAAGTAACATACTACAATAGCATTTACAAGAAAATAAACATACAACTACAACAAGTATGAAATAATGTGTCTATATCAGGACACTATATATGACAAATGCACAAATCCTCATATACAAAGTCCGAAAGAAAAATCAAGGTCTAGTGGTAAAGATTTGTATCTCAGACTCTCATATCACGAACAAGAGCGTGCATCACTCCATACCATCAATTTTGTAGCATACTCCGTATTAATTATCAATTTATCGTACACGAGTACATCAAATTGCAAATGTAATACATTAAAAATCAAAAATATTGATATCACATACAAGTACCTAAAATATGTCTAACTGATGAAAAGTTCAATATACTACATGACCAAATGCTCTTTCCTCACCCCACTAAACATTTGCAATTTACAATACGTACCAATGTACCATACAACATTTTTAATTCAACCTAAGAAAAGAATCAATGTACTTATGTACATATACAACCCAAAGTGGTAAGAACCAACAAATAATATTATTCTATTTCAGCATTTAGTTTAACTATTTGAACACTTCATTATTCAAGTGCACACAAAATCAGATTCATAAATATACTACCTCCGTTAAAGGTTATGTGCAACGATTTGACATAAAATAAAGAGGGAAAATGTCTGATCGTTACACATAACTTGTAACAGAGGTAGTAATATGAATGTGCACCAACTTTACAAATAAAACATATGTGCATTAACAAAACAAATAAAAGTATTTGCACCAAAAAAAAAAAATGCAAGATTTTAATGCTAATCAAATTGGGATAAACAAAAAAATTAAAAATTAAGAAAGAATAAATAGAAATTAAGAAGGGAAATAAAAATTACCATAACCAAGTAGAACAGAATTGAGAGAAGCAAAAACAGCAGAAGCCATGACAAATTTCCTGGTATTTCTTTTCCTCATAATTTGTGCCTCATTTTCTGAAATTACACTCAAATCTGAATCCATTCTTCTATATTTATTCTTTATATTTTTCAATCCCATATTTTCCATCCCATTTTCTTCAATAACACCCATCTTCATTATTCTCTTCTATAATAACTCCCAAAAAATCAGAACAAAAAAATAATCAAAAAATAAAATAATATTGGGTTTGTATTGAATTTATACAATCATTTCTTCAAATTTTATGAAATGAGAGATCTTTGTGAAGAAAATTCATAGAGTATTGGACAAAAAAAAAGTGATGCTGAGTCAAAAAGTGGGTGCTGTGTAAATTTCAACTTTTTTTTTTAATTATTTTTATTAAGACAAAAACACCCAAATTTCACGCAAATATTCTTGGAGAGAGACTTTGCGCTTCATTTCTTTTTTGGGTAATGGAATAACGTTGAATCAGATGTTGCCACGTAGCTGATGGAATCTTAGTGAGTGACGTGGCAGTTGTTGGTGGTGAGGTGCATGGTAGGGTTTGTGGGGATGTGTTGTAGAGTAATATGGCCCTTTGATTAGGAATTTGGTTGATGGTGTCGGTGTAAGGATTATAGTCGCTTCATTGTTCATTCAATTATAATCAATTAGGGCATGTTCTCATTAACTGAAATGAACTGAGCTGAATTAAATTTATTAGAGCTGAACTGAAATTTATGTTTTATAAGAGAAAGAAATTAGAAGCTGAGTTGAATTGAAATGAAAATAATCGTATGAGAATAAGCCCTTAGTCAATTACACTACCTTGTCAAAAAAAATTGTAATCAATTACAATATTCTATATAATATAATGTATATACTCTATCCCTAAAAAAATAATTAAAAAAATCTATATACTCAATAACTTTATTTGATTTTATTTGCATTAGATATTCCATATCTAAAAGTTGGAATATCCATTATCCGAATCTCATCCAAAATGTTTTGAATATCTAATATCAAATATCCATAATATTTAAGATATACATTGCTAGATATGTGAAAAAATATATTAAAAAAATATCACAAATTCTTATATGTGACTAATCACATATTATAAGGCAATTAATTAAGTAATAAGGGTCCGGTGATGAGCAAATGGGTTACTTTAACGTATGTACGTAGGTTACTTATATGCGAAAAAAGGGTTGCTTTCTAAAATATGTGGAATTATTCCTTTATTTTTCGAATGAATAAATGGGTTATTGATTTCCAAATTACTTGATTTTAACCGTATAATAAATTTAGGTTACTTTTATATACTATGGGCGTGTTAGGCGCTAGCGTTTGAGTAACTTTTAAGGGTTTGACCCAAGTCAAACCACTACTTAACAAAAAAATGTGAGTGCTTGGCAAAATAATGGTTATGGTAGCTTTTATGAAAAGTTAGAAATATTAGCTTTTGAAATTTGAGTTAGCTGTTGAAAATTTAATCTATAGTTTAAAAATATTATATTGATTTTTATGTATAACAGCTAATCAACTGCTACTTTACCGAACACTCGTACCTTATTAATTTTCTATATTCACTGCTAACAGCTAAAAGTTACCTACACAACTAACAACTACCTTCACAACTATATTTTGTCGTACACGCCCTGCATGGGGTTACTCTTATGAAAAAAATAGGGTTAATCATATATTTAAATGATTACTCTCATAAACCAATGTGTCCACACCATGTGCCTAGCCACATACAAGACTTTCCAAAAAAAATATTTAATTTTGATTTTTAACATAAAATATAAATTAATAACCAAAGTTTTCGATATTTAAATTGGATATTCGTTATTTGATACAAAATCATGAAATTAGTATCGGATAAGATAAACTAAATTATCAAATCGGATAGATGTTCGAATCTTAATTCTGATCGATAGTTTTGCTCAACCCTCAATTCGATGGGATTAATCATTTTCTATAGAAAACCGTTTTTAATGGAAGATTAATAATGAAAGAGGGTTTTCTACTTTTCCTTTAAGTGTTTTTTTAGGAAAACATATACTCTTGTATAAATTTTTACAATTGAAAATTAATAACCTATTCATTGTGACGATTTCAACAACTACCCACATGACTATATTTTTTTTTCTTATCACAAATAAATAGTGCAAAAAGTAGAAATGGAACAACTATAACATGTTTATTGTCTTCTTATTTTGTATGTATAATGAAATGAAATATAAAATATAACATTCCTCTATATATTAAAACTATATCTTAGACCATATGATTGTTTAAAAAATTACTACGTAAATGATAAATTAGTATAAATGTTTTTTATTAACCAACTAAGTATATAAAATTATGTATTACACTTAATGAGTAGGAATAATATAATAAATTCCGATTTATTGATATTTGGTCAATTTTTTTTTTCCTAAAGTATGATAATATATGAAAGTATTAGGGATATAAAAATGAAAAGAATGAAATTTTAATCAATCAAATTTTCTTACATGATTATATGCATAAATAAAGTGTTGGTACCAAAATGAATATGATCTCCACCAGACAGATGTAATGCTTTAGTTAGTACACGAAAATGCATACCATGATTCTTCTATCTATCAATAACTGCGTGCAATGATAAGCTATATTGGTGAATTACCTTCATTTTGCTATGTTATTCGTATTAGAAATAGGCGATGAACTAATTTAAGGTATCAAAAAATTGTAAATTCCCTTTTAATAATAATGATAATTGTTATTACAGATGTGAGAAAAAACAAATAAAGAATACAAGTCAATATAAATAACGCCACAGATTTATGTGGTTCACCAAAAATGAGTTGGTTACGTCCACGGGAAGACGAAAGTATTAGTTTTATTGATCTTGCGGAAAATTGAGTACGTACTGATTCAGAAATATTTGAGATTAATCACATAAAACAAATTGATTGTCTTTTAGATTTCTCATGTTATCTCTATCAGAACTCGCAGATGAGAAATACACAAAAGGCTATCAGAATTCTGAATTATCACTCAACTAATGATTGTCACGACTAGGAAATAACCTAAGAGTATTTATAATAACCCCTGTACTAGGAATGAAAGGCCTTAATTAAGGAAATAAGACCCACGAACAAACTACTCAAAATCGGCCAAAAACCCCCAAGCATGGGCGTGTCACACAGGGCATGGATGTGTCCTGGACTAGAAACAAAGCAGTAACTTGAAAACAAAACGACACGGGCATGTGCTGATTTTGACATAGGCATGTCAGTGTGAGTGCTTATATTTTCCGTTGAGGCACACCCATGTCTCCCTAAGGCATGGTCGTATCTCGCTACATCTTCCCAGCTTCTTCGTTGCGGCATGCCCATGTCTACTTAAGACATGGGCGTGTCTTACTGCAAAGCCCCAACTAGGCAACACAAGCTTCCTTGCTCCTGAATTTCCTAGCTCCTAATTCAAGGCACTATTTCTTGACAATCTCCACCTTGATTTGAATCCCCTCACAATAAAACCTGTACTAGATGCACACAACGCCAGATGTACCAGATGCACACGACGCCAGATGTACCAGATAACAGACGGATATCACAGAAAACAAATAATCAAAAACAAATTCTCCTTGCTCAGATTTGCCTTCGCTAGGCACCAGATTTGTGTCGTCCAACACCAAATCAGATTTGCCTCATCAGGCACAGATTGCCCCCTAAAACCTATTAATAGCTTCGAATAGTTTGTAAGTCCAAGCACTGTGATTCACCCATAACTAATACGAGAATAGTATAGAAAACTGTATTCTCACGACCAAAATCATTTCCCTCAAACACTAGTCTTGTTAAATAAAAAAAAAAAAAAAAAAAAAAAGCCGTGTGATAAGAGTCGGCTTTTTTTCACGTGACACATAACATATCTTTCCGAATATATAAAAATCAAAACAAAACTTTCGGATTTAACCTTTTATTCATTCTCTCTAAAATTTTCCCTTCATTCAATCTGATAATCGGAAACCCAGACACTCCGAAATAGTGAGATAGCCGACTGTTGCGACGGCCATGACGGTGGAGGTTGTGAATACCGGCGTCGATTCCGCTGCGGCGGCGACGGTTTTCCAGAACGGCGGCGTCGCTAATGGAGATATCAATGCAAACCCTAAAAAATCGAAGGAGAACGATCGTCGCCGCCGTCGTCGTAAGCAGAAGAAGAAGAAGAGTGCTTCTTCTCAACCTAAAGATGATGGAGATGATAGTGATGCTGATGGTGGTGTCTCTAATGGCGACGTTCCTCAACAGGTTTTTCTCTCTCTCCTTTTGTGTTGTTGTTGATTTTCTATGGTTAGGGTTAGGGTTTTGGTTTTTGGTGAGTTTAGGGTTTTGATTTTGGGGTTTGTGTTTTGGTTGATGTTTTTGTGTGTGGTTTTGATTGGCATTAGGTTTTAGGGTTTCTTACTATGGAAGTTTGTATGCTGAGATTAGAGTTTATTTTCTGGCTTATTCTTTAAATTGAGTTAGTTGATTTGAGGATTTTTGTTAAGAGATGAGTTTTTAATGTGATTTTTGTTCATGTTTTTGGATGTTATTATGCTGAATTCATCTTTTTCCTCTTTCTATGAATTGGAAGTTAATTATAGGCTACTTGTGATGAGGATTAATCCAAAACAACTTGCTTGCTCATAGTATGAAATGATAGGCTATACAATTTCCCCTCGAAGATTTGTCGATGACACAGTTGAACCAAGGTTGGCTACATGTTGTGGTAGATGTTTGTGTTCAAATGTCGCCTCCACCCGTCCTTTTGCAATCAGCATTTTCATTCGACTTGTACACACTTGATTGGTAAACCTTGTTGTATTGCATGATGATGAACAAGTATAAAATTGCTCGGGATTAAATTGTTTTGCTTGTTGTTTGCTAAGATGTGGATGCTAATGCTATCATCATGAGGTTGCTTCTACCATGTAAAGGGGCAGTTTTTTCTTGTCCTATTGGCGGGTACTTTACATCATTCATGAGTGGTTTCTTTCTTTTGGCTGTTTAGAAGTTAATGGCAAGTTTTGCTTAATATTTTTTTTTTTTCTATACCTGGTATTTTCAAATTACAACACTAACAAAATGTTCAACATATTTTTGTCACTTTTCCTGTCATTCTACATTTGACTTATCTAGTGGAGGTGATAATGAAAAGCTTGAATTGTGGAGGCGATAAAGAAAAGCTTGAATTGTGGAGGCAACAGTTCTATTGAAATAAAATAGGGTTGAGTGTGAAAGTGTCTGTGAGTGGGATCTTAATAACTATATTGCAGAACTAGATTGGAGGGAAGTACCCATCATCAAAAATAAAAGGTGTATTTATTAAGATGTTTTGTTATACTATATGGATTATGTTTATATAACTCAATGGATAGAATATAAGTTTAATTGTGGGTTAGGTACCAAAAACTTTTATGGTGAGCGATCAAGGGTAATTTTGAATTATAGAGTTCGGATTGAAAATCGTTTATTGTGATTCGATTGAGCGTTGATTGGGGGTAAAAGAAGGGATTAAAGCATAGGGAAGTTCAAGTTCACTGAAAGAATTTATAGAGAGGCTCATCTCTGGTATTGGAAGGGGTGGATAAAATTCTCTGTTTGTTTCGGTGGTTAAGTTATGCATAGAGGCATGTATAGCCAAGTTGAAGAAGGGATCAAAAGGTCTAGCTGTAAATACAAGCAGTCCCCCTTTCCAAAACACAGTTGATGGTGAGCGGGATTGGTCAAAATTTGTGATCCACTAAGGCTATTTTTGTATTAAATTTTAAATGTAGATCAATAGATTTTCTCTTCTTTTAATCTGCTGGTGATTGAGTTTTGCAATTACCTTTGATGTGTCTTCATTGGATTTAACACTTTGTTGGATTGAAAGGAATAGAAGGGAAATGGAGGGATGTATAATCTTTCATTTGGATAAAAAATGAGAAGGGATGAGAATTGGAGGGAGGGAAATGAAAGTTTTAAATTGCAAGGAATTGGTCTCTCCATCAATGGAGAGATTTGAAAGGAATACTTATCATTCTTCCCCCCTTTCCCCCCTTTCCCCTTTCCCCCTTCTTTTCCTTCCTCTTTTTCTATACACACTGTAAAAGTTTTTTCTGTCTTCTTCTGTTGTGATTGCAGATGTTATAATTTATTGTGAATGTATAATTAATTCTTTGTTTGATAATCACAGCTTCCATTGTCTTACTTTGTTGTCTATTGTGGAATCTACAATGTGTTGCGAGGCTCTTCCTGCTCTTCATCGAGTTTCTTTGGGCAATATATTACCCTTGTGCTCTCTTTTCATTTTTTTCAGGTTTTGGAAGAAGTTGAGGTGACATATGTTCCTGAAAAAGCTGACTTGGATGATGACTTGCTTGATGATTTTAAAAGGGTTTTTGAGAAATTCTCATTCAAAGAACCTGAAGGAGATGAGGTATTGTGATTGCTAGTGTTTTTTTCACTTAAAGATTATTGAACATTTTGAGCTTAACATCAACTTTTTCTGTTTGCATTAATTGACTCAGGCTGATGAAAAAAAGGATGAGATAGATCAAGATGCAGCTGCAAAGAAGAAAGCTGACTCAGATTCTGACGAGGAAGATCAGGATAATCAACTGAAGGAGAAAGGGATCTCAAATAAGAAAAAGAAGGTATTGCTTTTATTTAACAATTTTATGTTTATTTTCCTCTGTGTATAGTATGTATTTTAGAAAGTAATGTCTTCCTCCAGTGTAATACCTTTTTTCTGTCTTCTTTACTCCTTTTCAGCTGCAAAGGAGGATGAAGATTGCCGAGCTGAAGCAGATTTGCCGAAGGCCTGATGTGGTGGAGGTGTGTAGCTTATTTTATGTTCTAAAGATTTTACTGATTAATGCAACATGTTTCTCCCCTATTCATTTTTGTTTCATTTGGGTTGGGGGATATGTGTGACAAATCCAGATTATAAAATTTGAGGGGTGCTATGATCACCTTTGGTAATAATGTTATTTGAACTTGAGTACTCGTGTCTGCCATGGCCATGTGTCCAAATAAAGTGTCCATACCCTTGTCGGGGTGTTAAAGACACAACATGGGTACTTGAAGTGACACGAAGAGAGTTTAATATGTTACTTATGTTACTCATGCTACTCGGACACACCCGACATCGGTACTTTTTAAGTGTCCGATTTTGCTATTCTTTGACCTATGGTTTTGGCCTTGGATTGAATGTCAAAGTGTTCATATGACTGTTGGAGCGTCATTGATCAGACACAGATGCTTGAGGTGAAATGAAGTGTTGAGTAACATAGTTTGTGCTGTTGAATTGATTTTGACTAGTTTGGGATTTTATTACCATTTTTTTGTTGCTCTGCCCCATTGAATACTTCTGATTATGTTTGATTTTTTTCAGATCTGGGATGCAACTGCTCATGACCCGAAGTTGCTGGTGTTCCTCAAGTCCTACAGAAATACGGTTCCTGTCCCTAGGCATTGGTGTCAGAAGAGGAAGTATTTGCAGGTTAGCACATGTTGCTGATGTACCCTCTACTTATATTACTAAATGTATGCATAAGCATGGGTCTATTAGTTTGTGTGATTTGGGGGAGAGGGTGAGGTCGATAACAGTCGATGAGGTGTTATCTTATACGCATATATGTGGTTCTTGCAGGGTAGCGGCTGTGACATTCATGGAGACGAGACAGGTAGGTTTCTGCCAAGGGACCATTGAGTGGGTTCTCTTGTAACATGTCAGGCGGTTTGGGCTGGGTTGTAGAACATGATTGATATCTGATATTGTTGGTTTAAAGATGTTTAAGTTGTATATTTGCTTTTCCCACATTGATATTCAGTGTGTTTGTGATCTTGTCAGTGTTATGTCTCTACTTGGTTTCAGCTTCCTCAGCACACTTGAGTATTGCTTAGGCTGAACATGTTTGCCCCAGATGATCTGAGATCTGGCTAAAATTCTAGATTGGACTCACAGTTTAACATCTAAAATTCTAAATTGTATTTTATTTTCGGTTAAATTTTATGCCCATATTGAATTATGAACTTTTCCCTCATCGGGTGTTGACCAATGTTTTGCAGGGGAAGCGTGGTATCGAAAAGCAGCCGTTTCAGCTTCCTGATTTTATTGCTGCAACGGGTATCGAAAAGATTAGACAGGTAACCTTAAAAACTACGTATAAGGGATTGTTGACCTGTGTAGTTTTAAATTGTGGAATGTGGTGTAAACCTGAGATAAGGAAACTTGCACTTCTCATGTATGCTGAAGCAATCTTTATTTGCCTATTTGGTCTTGGCCTTCTGTACTTTTATTAATGATTCCTTTATTTTATGATTTGGTGACATTTGAAAAAAGTTAAGCTCATTGTCTTCCTCTTTTCCTTTTGGAATTTGAGGGGAAGAAATTTGCTTCTGGTTGGCTCTTAGATTGTCAGTCCTTGTGTTGACATAGTCTGATCTTTAATAAAAAGTTGACCTAGATAATTTTTTTTTTCTGATTGGATTGATGAGCTGTTATTAGTGCATGTTGACTTCTCTACTTGATGTCTTGTTGTCATTATCCATGTAATATTTGCATGTAGTTTAGGGGCTCTTGTTAGATTGTAATTGAATAAGATAATTTGCTGTTACAAAGAATACTCGGTCATGAATATGGGTTTGGTAAGGTTTAATCTTCACTTCATTTCTTTACCTATCTACAGGCTTATATTGAAAAGGAAGATAGTAAGAAGTTAAAGCAAAAACAACGGGAACGCATGCAGCCAAAGATGGGCAAAATGGATATTGATTATCAGGTTTGTTGATTTTCCTGGTGTCTGGTGCATTGTGCTGTGCCTTGTATTATATGGCTTGATTATGGAAGTGTCCTTGATAGTCTTGGTGATGGCTGGTTTGACATTATCTTTTCTTTCATTCTTTCAGGTTCTGCATGATGCATTTTTCAAATATCAGACCAAGCCAAAGTTGACGTCATATGGTGATTTGTATTATGAAGGGAAAGAATTTGAGGTATGGTTTTTTGAATCTACATTTCTACTGCGATTAATCCTTGTATGTTGATTTTACTTCTACAGTCTGGTCCTAAGCCAAAATTATCATCTTCCGTACATGTTCAATAAAATAAAAGTTCATATATGGCTTGGATGTTTAAGCTTAATGTGCTGAATTGCATGACAATCTCATACCTTAGGACCAGAGGTTTGGCTGCTACTGTCCAAGTATCATTGTAGTTGGTTTCTTATTGGAAATGGTGCTTTCTGGTTGACATGTGTAAATGATAATGACTGCCTTGTTTTATTCATTCTAACCAAGGAAAGGAGAGAATATTGAATTCTCTTGTTATTTGTGATGTTCTTTCTCCATCTGTACGGACAGGTTCCCTAATATTCTAGCCTGAGTAGGCTGAATATCTACAGTTTTCTTATATCTGCTCTAGCTTGTGTGACTAGGGCCTTGTAGATAGTGCGTGTATTGGGAATGACTTCACCATCAATGTAATTGCTCACATTTAAACAGTTTGACTTGTGGACTGTATGGTAGGCTTTGATAAATGATGGTATTGGTAATGAATTTATTGTGTAATTTTGTAAGTGTAATCTCATTCCAAGGTCAACAGTAATGCTTGTCCACCCATTAAATTTTCAATCTCTTCCTAAATTTTCCTTACCACATCTAAAGTTGATGTTCAATAATAGTGTAAATTTATTAAGTAAAAGTCAATATTTGGGGATGGAGTTCTATTATTCATTATCGTTTTGGGACTAAGGCTTTGTTGTTGGAGTTCTGTTATTAATTATCATTACCACCATTATTCATTTACCTACCAAATGGGCTATAATGTTGAAGTAATAATCTTTATTAAAGAGCAAGGTGATGTACATGTTTTTTCCGCATATGGCATCAAATGATTAGTGACGACTTTTTGGTTTTAATGCAGGTAAAACTCAGGGAGATGAAGCCCGGCACCTTGTCTAAGGAGCTGAAGGAAGCTCTTGGGATGCCAGAGGGTGCCCCTCCTCCATGGCTTATCAATATGCAGGTAAGTTTTGTAATTCATCTCTTTTGGTATGAATCTATTTCTTGGTTACTTATACTTTTCTTTCTTGTTCCAGAGATATGGCCCCCCACCATCATACCCACACTTGAAAATCCCTGGATTAAATGCTCCTATTCCACCTGGTGCTAGTTTTGGTTATCATCCTGGTGGCTGGGGAAAACCTCCTGTTGATGAAGTAAGTGTTTTATTCTCTAATTGCATTGCTGGGTTCTTAGCCCTGTTTCCATAATTGATTGCTAATTTTTTGTTTTGTTTGTTTGTTTGTGTTTGATAGTATGGACGCCCACTGTATGGAGATGTGTTTGGTGTTCAGCAGCAAGATCAACCTAATTATGAGGTACACTGGGTTCATGGGTTGTTTCTACATTCAATCTTAATTATGTGGCCAGTCTCATTTTCCGTACTGTTTTAAAAGATAAATTAATTGTGTATAATGGATTCAGGAAGAACCAGTGGACAAGTCAAAGCACTGGGGAGATTTAGAGGAAGAAGATGAAGAGGAAGAAGAGGAGGAGGAAGAGGAAGAAGAACTCGAGGAGGAGGAGCTTGAGGATGGCATTCAATCTATCGATAGTCTATCAAGGTATTCAGTTAGTTAATGTGCTGCATTTCCGTTTTCAGGCTGTTGTTGAGTTGATAATCATGGTATATTTCCTCCTCTGATGAATTTTTGACTTTGTATCTTTTGCAGTACTCCTACTGGTGTTGAAACGCCTGATGTTATTGACCTTCGTAAGCAACAGAGGAAAGAGCCTGAGAAACCTCTTTACCAAGTAAGCAAGGATTTAGGACTGTTACTGCTCTTCAGTGGCTATAATCTTTGTGCTTAATGTGTCATTGACTGTTTTCTAATCTTTTTTTTGTTTTGTTTGTTTTTAAAGGTACTTGAAGAAAAAGAAGAGAGAGTTGCTCCAGGCACATTGTTGGGAACAAGTCATACGTATTATTCTTGTCCTTGTTAATTTGTCTGTCTTGTGTCTGGGAATATTGATTTTATATTTTACTGTATTTTCAAATTGCTGAAGTATCTTTTCTGTCAAAAAAAAATAAAATAATTGCTGAAGTATCTTTTATTGTTACCAGGTACGTTGTTGGAGCTACTAATCAAGACAAAGCAGGAGCTAAGAGGGTAAAAAAATGCTTCTCTTTCTGTCCTTCTCCCCTCCCCCAGAACCTTATATTTCTTTCCATCACAAAATAATTAATAAATTGAGACGGGTTGTCTTAGGCTCTGCTTGGTTCAGCTGATGTTCACTTGTTTCAGTATAGCATAACTTATTTGTCAGTGTGAAATTTTATTTTATCTTTTTTTTTTTTTTTTGAAACCTAATTTTATTTTATCTGAATCTATCTTAATTTATATCACCTCATTTGAAATTATTATCTGAAATAAGACAAAATAAGTTGAAAGAAACAGACCAGTAACCTTTCATGATGTGTTATGTAGCCCAATTTTTCATTCTTCAGAATGACTTCGCTTTATAATTTTTGTACTACTACTTAATAGCTGATCCTAGTAGCACAATGTAAGTGTTTTTAGGCATGTGATGTCTTTATATATATATCAAGATATAATATAGATATCTAGTCTTGTTATATACTTCATTCGTTTTTATTTACTTGACCTAGTAAGTAAATAGAGAAGGTAAACATTCACTAATAGAACATGAGGTTACAGGAATTAGTCCTGTGGAAACTCTTAATTCACTTATTGATGTTTATTCATGGTTTTTGTTTACAGGTTGATCTTCTTAGGGGTCAAAAGGCAGATAAAGTGGATGTGTCTCTACAGCCAGAAGAGTTGGAGACCATTGACAACGTATTGGCTGCGAAGTAAGTTTCTAGTTATTTGAGATATCGTATAGCCGTTTATGTATCCTTCATTGTTGCTAGCTCAAATTTTTTTCATTTTGTTTACCTAAATTATTTCTATGCTTTGTTTTCAGGTATGAAGAAGCAAGGGAAGAGGAAAGATTACGTAGCCAGCGTGAAGATTTCAGTGATATGGTTGCAGAGGTTGGTGCTTGCCTTTTATTTTATTTTATTTATATATATATATATATATTTTAACTAGAACTCCATGTTTCTGTCATTGCTAATTCTTTTTTTCTGTGATTTTTGCTACAGAACGAGAAAAAGAGGAAGCGAAAGATGCAAGATAAGGAAGGAAAGTCGAAAAAGAAGGATTTCAAGTTTTAGGATGTTTCAAATGCATTTTTTGTATTTTATCTGTATCAGGTTAAGCAGTTTCTCGCTTAGTTGGGATTTGTTCGGTGTGGTCTAGATCCTTGGTGGCATAAATTTTTGTTTAATGACTAAGCAGAGATTAGTCCAGCCTCTGTTCTGCAATATCTTAGTTCAGAGAATATAGTTCTGTTTGTGTTGCCACAACCACTGTTTAAGTTTTGTCACTTGGATGTATAAACCTATGAACCTACTTGTATAAAAGATAACAGTTGATATACTTAATGGTTTACTTTTTTTTCTATTTTGTTTTGGATTCGTCTTTCTATAGGTATTTGTTTTACTGGTGTGAGTGAGCTTTTAGTTTGGTTGATTGGAGGTGATTAAATTCAGGTGTAAAAAAATTCTGAATTTACGCAAAGCCATTGATTGATAGATATCAATTCAATCTTATTGCTTGCAGCCTTAGCCTGGAATGTGGGTGTAGCACCTTGTTTTAAACACGATGTATGGATGGTGCTGTGGTCTGAGCTCTACTCGCATGGCAACTTAGTCTAACCGACCTTTGAACATGAGAAGGGTATGGTAAGAATGTGAACCCGCTATATTGCTACTTCCTGGTTCCTGCATACTTCAAATTGGGAAGGGCAATGGCCGAAAACGGATTTTCTAAATTTGGTATTCACAGAGATTGTAATTAAGAGCAAGAAATGTTTGTTCTTTCATGATTGAAATAGGCTGTAGCTTCTGGAAAATATTGAATGGTCGAGGTGAACTAAGGGTGTCCGACTGCCCGGTAAGCGACAATTTTAGAAACAATAGAATGCTGGGTGCACCATAATTTTTGTCCCATTGATTTGTGTCACATTTTTTTGGTTTGTTGTGTTTAAGTTTATACTTTTTGGGGCTCTAATGATCAAAACAGTCCAAGTTTATGAAACTATGAAAATTCAACCCTAAATTTCTCAATGAGTTTATTCAAGAAACTATTGAACCTTACTCATGAAGTCATGAGTCATGACTAGCAGGCTGCTTATTACCTTTAAAGGCAATGAAATGTTCATGGACAAGGATACTTGTTTACTTTTTGCATTGTATGTAAACTCTATCTTTTGTGGTAATTCGAATTTTTTTTTAAAATTCATTTTCTCATGATCATTTATCCATCAAATCTTACTATTATGTGTCAGTCGTATTACTCAATTTCAAATTGACTAATCGTTTTTCGCTAGTACTTGCTCTTTATAAGCGGTGGCCATATTCACAGGTTAAATTATACTATCAATGTGACAATAAAGGGAAGTCGGCTATACTAGAATTGATTTGCTTTTACTCTGATTGTAAAAGAGCCACACAAGGTAGTTGACGTTCACAACCGAGTACAACCAAAAGTCTATAAAAAATGATAAAATTGTACAACCTACCAAAAACAGAGAGCATAAAACACATGAGAAGGTCCAAAAACATCCTCAAAATTGTGCGGAACATAAATATATTGTCATAGAATGATGACATAGTTGAATAACATGCTATAATTCTAGAAAATTATACCCTAAAACCTAAAAAAAAAAAAATAGACACAAAACAAATAATATAAGACCCACAAATTATAGCTACTGCACGTAAATTATTATTGTAGAGGTAGGCAGCATGAAATACACTAGTCTATTCTAGTGGGCTTTCCTCACATGCATGCACTCCCACTACTTTATGCATGAATTCAAATTTAAAGTCATTTTTAATAAAAGTGATGATTGTATAATATAAAGTTATTGGTAACATGAAATTACATAGTTTTTCTGTTATTTTTTTATGACATTTTTGGTATTACTGCCTACTAAGGTACTTATCTATTAAGAAACCAAAAACAGTGGAAATAAATGGATTGGTACACTACTAAAGTTATAAGTAGTACGTTGTCTATTATCCATAATGTCGTTATTTTTGTGCACTCTCCACTTGTGGTGTTGGTTTAATTTTTATTTTTATTTTTATTTGTTTATTTATTTATTTATTTTTATTATTATAGTGTTGGTCCATCAGGTTGATCGATTTGGATCGGAGCACATAAAATGCACGTACGTATGAAAAATTGAAGATCTAAGAACGAGTGTTTTAGGGAGGAAGTTTAACGTTTAGGACTTCTTATATAAAATGCATATCACCAATTATAATTTGGATCATCGGAGTTAAGTTACTTTTTTGAATTACACAAAATACATGTTACAAATAATTGTGATGTTTAATTTGCTCTATTGATGACTTAATTAACATATTAGTTATTTTTAACCATATAGGATGTAATTGTATAAGCACATAAATGAATGGAATTACTTATATGAAAGTGAGAATAATAATAATGACAATAAAAGTCGCAAAAATGAAGATATTCGTAAATCAAAATCCCAAACTAAATTGAACAGAAAACTAAAAAAACCTAAACAGGAATTAAGTTGAAGTAATATAATATGCTTCATATACATATAATGTTCACAAATTAATCACTTAAAAATCAAATGAACAGATTGATCTAAGCCGCACTTCCCCACTTAATTAATACTCCTTCCCTTTCTATATTATACAACTATATGAGTGTATCACATTAGCTTGAGGACCATTATCACAAGTTCAATTAAAAATCATAGTAAATTGACTATTTGAAATTTTTATCTAACAATGTTTCATTTAACAAAAAAAAAAAAAATGTTAAGATTATCATTAACGGTAACACTTATAATTAAATGACAAACCCTCCTAGCTTAGCTTGATATAGCAAATCACACAAGGAGAGAGAAGACAACAAAATTCCTTACTTGTCGAATCAATGATCGACATGAGATGACTAGTTATATTGTGTGTATTGTAGATTTGTTGGCCTATAAGATCACACTAAACCATTAGGATTTTACCACTTAAGCTTAAACTACTAATAATACAATTATATTACACTTAAATAATTGACCATTTTATGCTATGAATGCTTTATATTATACAAGTAATTTATTAGTGGAAGCTGTCCTAACTTGGAGATCAAGTGTAAACAAAAATATCCTTATATTTTTTATTATTATTTTTATAAACCTATGTTCATAAGAAAACAAATAACAAGTGTAAGCAAAAATTGCAAAAATATGTACTTTGTTTCATGTAGCACTATCACTATATTATGCCAAAAAAAAAAATGTCGTTTTTATAAATACACTTTTCGTTAAATACCTTACTTCTTTGACACTCTTATATAATACCACACGAATATAAACCTTAATTGCATAAATAGGCAATTGAAAATTACTATTTTTATTTATAAGTGATTATTTGTGGCTTTATTTTTGGACCCACTTTCCGTACAAAATGTATTAGTTAGGACATGAGTCAATTTGTAATACCATATTATATATCATAATATGTCAAATTAAATTACGTGCAAACTATTTGTGATACTAGTGGGAATTGAATTGAAAGTTAACATCAAATTGATAGTGATGGTAATTTTATTACCTTTTTTTTTCTTTTGAGAAAAAAATGCAAAGTTGTTTGTTTTAAATTTTGAGTGGAGTAATATGTACTTAGGTTATGTCTACATGCATGGAGGTTATTGTCAAGCTCATCAACATCAATTAAAAAGGGTTAATTAAACATTATATTTAGCTTAATTACAAAGTCATACTAATTTGTGGGGTACAATGTCTCATACGTTAGCTAGGTTTTGTTAAATTGACATATTTGTTTCCACTAGAGATTAGGATAAACACATGCACACTTAAATCATTAAACACATATAATTTAGTCATTTCTGATGGATTTGTATGATTAATATTGGTGTAAGCTAGAGGCCAAACATATCCTAAATTTTACTTGAAAATTAAAATTGAAGAAAAATTGTTGTCGGATATATGTATATTTTTTTGGTTTTAGTAGTTATAAATTGAAGTAGGAACAATGTAATCTATTGATCTAGTGAAATATTGAAATCGTACAATGTATAATTTTAATTACTATATAACTAATTTTGAATAGTTTGATGTTTGATCAGCTTAAATTGTCTATAATATTCCTATTTATATTTTCTCTTACAAAAATATTTTATCAATGCCAATGTAATACATATATATACGTTGTATTTTTTATATAAAAAATAATTACGCATGTATAACTTTGAGGTCACAAGTTTGAGATTCACTAATTAAATTTGCTTAGGATTTGGGGTTTTTTTATTTACCTGGCCTCCTCCGCTACTCTCAAACGATGACTAGTGTAACTAGACTAGCTTACCTATGAGATGTCTTAATTCAATTGGGTCATTTTTCTTATTAAAAAGAAAAAAAAATAGCATGTACTTATATATATATAGATCTAGTATGTAACTATAATATATGCGAATTAGGAGCGTGTATTAGCTGTCTAATAATTGTCTATGAAACATTAACATCAAGTGAATCAATAATTTAATTATTGCAAATCCTTGATATCATTGGAGCTTCATAGATTGACAGTGTTATGCCATCATAGTCATCAAGTAGCACTTGGTCACAATATAACCTTAATTATAATATTTAAGCAGCATGTATCTAGCAAGTACGTACATTATATTCCATAATAATGTGCATGACATTCCTTAATTAATCAATTGCTAAATAATCCATGTTCCAACAACTTGAGTCAATAATAAGTTGGTATGATGGTCCAAGCATTAGTGACCCTACACACACTTAATTAATTTAAAATACCACGTGCATGTTGTAAGATCCATTACTTAATCCCTACAACTTAATTTCATTGTGACAATTATCACTAAGGATAATAATAATTATTTGAAAATTGTTATGTATACCTAAGGGATAACTTTGAGAAAATATAAATAGATTTTAATTAAGCTAAGTATTCGTAATATCAAAGCATGATTGGGGAAAAAATTAAAAGAAAATCCCGTATAGAGCTATATATATATATATATATATATATATATATATATATATATATATATATATATATATATATATATATATATACCGCACTAAATATTTCACGTATTTACATACTTTATTGTAAATCTAGATAATTAAGACTCCGTTCTCTTCTATATATTTTTATAAATATATTTCATTAAAAAATAAGTTGATTTCTATGATATTAATTGATCACATAAACCTTGCCAAAATGGGAAAAAAAAAAAATTAAGTTTGATTAATCTAGTAGCTTAGGAGTATGCTTTTAAAAAAATAAATAATCAAGTGTTAAATTCAACAAAAATAATTAGAGTCAAATGAAACCTAGATTAATTAACTTGCCAAAGGTTTTGGTAATCTAATTAAATTACCAATTTATCATATTGATTCTATTGAAACAAATACATAACAAATAAAGCCGCAATTTTTTATTTTTTTTTCTTTACTTATATTATGAACATGGTTGCTTGCTAAGAAGGGCCAATAATGGTAGCACGCGTACAATAATTTTATTTAAATTAAATTATTTAAAAAATTAATAGATTAATGCAAATTGATTTTGATTAGTCCTATTTGATGGCAGACTGGCAAATTAAAATTGTGAGTGGACAGATTAGATTACTTAAAATTGTTGGATTAATAATTAGAAGAATAAATTAAACTATATAATAATAGTATAATATGACTTGGATATTATTAATTGGCTAAGGTCGTCATTGTCTTCGTTGTCCGACAAAATATATTCTCTGATTGGTCTTTAGAAAGAGTTGCTTTACCTAACAAACAAACCGACCAAGATTTCCTTAATCGCGATTTGTGGGCTAGACTTATTATTATTATTATTAAAAAAAAAAGGAGATTTTCGAATTTATTTCTCTTAATTATTTAAATTTAAATTCTTATTACACTAATGGTATGTTTAGTAAGTATTTGTAATCTACGATTAAATAAACAATGGTAATGAGAATAAATTTATGTGTAATTGATGATTTGGTTGTAAGATAAAATTAAATTTTGTTCTTGTTACAATAAGATCTTGTGTATTTTTAATATCTAATACAACAGTATAATATCACTTACTCCGCATTTGACAATGAACCAAGCATTAGAGTTTGAGTCTATGTATCTAGGTGGATTGGTTTATCTTTGAAATATCACGATGGACACGATTTGATAGTAGACGATAGATGGATGATACTCAAAAGCATCCAAAAAAAAACCCTGCTACATTGTTTTTACATTTTTTTACATAAGAGTAAAAGTAAATTTTTTTGACAGGTATATAAAAGTAAATGTGGATTAATTAATTTAAACACTTTAGACATCTAGTCAACTATGTACAATCTTGACTATTGAAATTCTTTTGTTCCAGGCTTATTTATAGCATTATTGTGTTTTCTTCCATAGATGAATTAATACAAGATTCCATAACAAGGAGCATATGTTAAATTACGATCATTAATTGTATAGAACATTTTCCATTGAGCACCATTTTTATCATATAATTAACAAACACGTCATACATATATAAATAGGACATCGTATACATAGGATTCTACGGATTTTCAATTCAATTCTAAGTAACTTTCAATTTAATCCTAATTAAAACCCGGATCTAGACACTATTAGGTAATCAACTCTTTACTCTTGACTTCTTGTCACCACATTAAACACTAGTCCTTCAAAGGCTTGAAATATAGTTAGCTAATTAATTATATTAATGTCTATTCCCCTATTTTCAAACTCACATTTTATACCAAATTTGATACTTCAAAGGACAAATTCTGACCACTCCAAAGAGAGGAATGTAGTAGGTTGTGTATTAGAATCTTGGGGACCCATAGTGCCGACTATTTAAGCCCTTGAGTGAGATATTAGTATCATTATTTAATGTTCTTTTACATCTTTTTCTTCTTTGGCCTCCTATTTCACTTGTTTTTAGTTAATATAATCCAACAACCCACCATTTTTCATCATGATGGTTTCTTTACTAATTTTTGCACACAAAAACTTATGTCTCAATTTTCAAATAACATTGTGATCTATAATTCTATATAGAAGTGAAAAGACAATATTAAAATCTATAACTTGAATAAAGGTAAAGGTGATATTTTTAACGGAATGGTTGAATTAACCTAATAATGTGAAAAATGTCAAGTAAGTTATAAGATTTGATTATTATTATTATTGTAATTCGAATTTATATTTGGCTATTTGCTAACAGTTATGAGATATATTTTGTTTCAATTATGTGTTGTCCAATTCCATGAGTAAAACTCTTAAATGTCGTAACTATTTAGTTGAAAATTTAAATGGTAAATTAATGCTATCAATATTATGAGCCTCCTCTAATATCAATATCTATTGAAAATTCTAAGTAAAATAAACCACATTAGTACTGTTAAACGTATTAATAATTTCCAACTGCCTTAAAAGGATTACAAACTGTTCAAAGTACCCTCAAGATTTAACTTAGATTTCATGTTTCTAAGCATTGAATTCTAAGCACAATCGATAATCTGCTAAAAACACTAGCAATGCCGAACAACTTTTTTTGATTAGATACCTACTAAGGGCCTATTCACATTTACTGAAGTGAACTAATTGAAGCTGAACTGAACTAAACTGAATTAAATTGAGCCGAAATGAATATTTTATGAGAGAAGGAAATTAGGAGCTGAACTGAACTAAACCGAATTGAATAGTGTCGAAATGAATATTTTATAAGAGAAGGAAATTAGGAACTGAACTGAACTAAACTAAATTGATTGGAGCTGAACTAAACTGAAATTAAGCTGAAGTAAACAGGTCCTAACTTAAGAGTGTATAAGAATCTAGCTAATCTAAATCTAAGTTCACAAACACAGTGAATTGAAAAATAACATACTAATTCAATCTTGATTACGACGGCTTTCTTTATATCAATCTCCTCATCAATAAACTTCGTACATACTTCATACTTCGAATTTGTCACAGTAAAATAACTCCCTTATCAACTGATCCAATATGCTATATAGAAGCGATAAGATATTCATAACCACCAAAGGCACATCCATAATCTAGTTCTAAATCAAATCAATTAAACCAACATTAAGGTATATTACAAGGCCACGAGGGTTCACATGATGCCAACTGTAAAAAAGAACTTTACCAATGAAGAGAAGAGAAGAAGGGTACCTACAAACTAAGTAGGCCCCACTAAGGTCTTAGGCTAGTCTAGTGCTTCTTAGGCAATCCTTTCATTCCATGTCAGCACCGACCTTTTTTATATTCTGTTTCCAAATTCATTCATGGGATGGGATTGTATCAAGATCTTCTCTTCTCTTCTTTTAAACTAATGGCCAAACAAACAAGGCACTATCAAGGGTTCTTCTTCTTCCACGTGGCTAAAGCCCACCTTCACCTTAATCACTAAGTATTCAACTTGCTTAATAATTTATCCTAGTAGAATTATCTTGTAAATTTTGGTTGGTTGTGAAATTTATCATATGTTTTAATTACTATATTGTGTTGCTTGTATTTTTTTTAAAAAATTGTCCTATGAAATTAATTATTTGCAAAAAATTTAGATAACTTAAACTATAATATGGAGTTTTAAATTAACTCATATTTTAAATTTGATTTAATAAACTAAAATTTTAAATGACTGAGTAATAAATTATTTCCATATTAATTTAATTTATTCAAGTGAAATTTTACATGACCATTAATCACACAATATGTAAACATAAATAACAATATTTTAATGTATAGTTCTTTTAATTTAGTAACATTTAAATTTTTACACTAGTCAATCTACAACTTTAAGCAATAATTATTTGTATAAACTATATAATTGTGTTGTTATAAAAATATACATTCAAACTAATCAAAAGTATGAAACATGTAAAAACCGTCTATTTTTTTTGGAGTATTTAATAATAAATGGTCAAAAAAAGAAAAAAAATTCTAACTAAATTATGCAAAAGTTCAAATGTTTCACTAATAAAACAATGTTTTTTATTTTGTGTAACAAACTGACACATATTAAAACACTGATCGGGTAATTCTCGACCATCAAGTATCTCTTGACCGAATAACCTTAGATCGATTGAATAAACTACTCATGACCGAATAATACCGACCATACCGTATAACCAACCAGTCAACCACATATAAAAATTTGTGTCAATAAAATACTATATGGAGTAACATAGACATTAAATAGAAACCCTCTGTACTAGGGATACCTCCAATTATTAACATGTAGACTTGAAAACATGAAACAAATGGCTCATATACCCCACCTATATATCAATCAATTAACCTCTCTACTATCAAAGTAAAAAAAAAGAAAATAATTCTAAATCACATATTTTCTTTTCTTAGTTCATATAACTATTCCATTTACAGATAGGCTATTGATTGATAAAAACATAGACATAGATAGATAGAGAGAAAGAGAGTGTATAAGATATGCTCACTTCTCCTCACCTTCCTAGCCACTTCCTTAACCTTAAATCAACCTTGTCTCTTTCTATTTCTTCATATCTATTCACAAATAAGCTTCAAACAAACCTTCATAATAACCCCATCTGATCTTGTTGTTCTTCAACTTCATCTCTCTACTCATACCGCGATCCAAAGGTTAGAAATTTTTTTAAGCCTAGGATCAATCATCAAAGATAACATACAACATAGAATTAAGTTTTTGCATAGAGTAAAGTTGGTTATAGTTGGTTTCTTTGGTTCATAAAATGGGGTTAAGCTCAAAACAAGTTTCAAGTGATAGGCATGGTTGGAACCAAGCTTTGTTACAAGCTAGCACCTTAGAGCTTACTAAACCACCTCCATTATTAAAGAGACAAGCACCACAAGTGCAACAACAACAACAACAAGAGCCTTTGAAGTGCCCTAGATGTGATTCATCCAACACAAAATTTTGCTACTATAACAACTACAACAAATCACAACCTAGGCATTTTTGCAAGGCTTGTAAGAGGCATTGGACCAAAGGTGGCACCCTCCGCAACGTCCCCGTTGGTGGTGGCCGGAAGAATAAGCGTCTTAAGACGTCCAATGGCGGTACTAAGACCGCCTCGAAGGCAAACACCACCATCACAACCACCACAAACATAGTTAATAATAGCAGCACTACAAACGACAACATTAAGGCTTTATTACAAAGACAACATCATCAACAACAACAGCAACCAACAAGGTTTAGTCTTCCCCTTGGAGAAGCATCATCACTAATAAGTACTCGTACAAGTACTTCTTTTGATGAGAAAAACAGTTTCTCTGAGGCATTTTATCAAACACTTGTTAGGCAACCACCATCTTCACTACCAGAATCCTCCATTACCTTCAACAACAAGAGCTTAAATGATGGGATTTTTCTGGGTATTTCTCAAAACAACAATGATCAAGAACACCTTCAATTTCCATACTCAAATCTTGGAAATTTTGAGAGTAACCCATGTTCAATTTCTTCATCAAATTTCTACAATTATACAGAGGATCATCATCAACAACAACAAAATCATCAAGATGCTGCAAATGGGTTGGAAGATTCAGTGATGAATACAAGTAATAGCAGCTCAATGAGTGTGATTGATATGTCAAATAATTGGGGTTGGGATGATTTTGATAAATTTGTTTCAGTTGAAGCTGATCTTACCATGCCATGGGATGAAACAGAGATCAATCCACCAGCCACTTGACAGGACATGCAACTATCAAGTAATAATTATTAAAACTTTATATTATAATTTTATAGTATGATCTTACAGTATTATTATATAACTATAAATACTTGGAGTTTACTTTAGCTTAATTACTGTAGTATGTGTGTTCATATGGAATTTGGGGTTATTTATTTTTATTTTTTTAAATGATGACTTTGGAGTTTATCTTTGATAAATTTGACAATGTTTTGTTCATTTGACTATTGTAATGTAATAGAGATTAGTGAATAATTAAAATATGCCCTCATTTTTAATGGGTTGTTTTTCTTATTGTAGTATAACATTAATTAAATTCATGATTAAGAATAATCATGTTTTAATTAGTTTTTCAATGTTTTCTTGCTTGTTCCTAGGAAATTTTCATTCATACTTTTGTCATCCATAATTATTTGATGATGTATTTTTAGTTTTAACTAAGTTTGGAATATTTATTACTTAAAGATACTTAAGCTTAGCATATTAAAGACATGAATTTTATTCTCCTTCAAGTATATGGAGTACTTCTTTTATTACTTGTATTAAATTAAATAATTTGAACAACAATGATATGTAAATTTTTTTAAAACTCAAAATAATTAAATTAAATTGTGTTCAATTGAATTGCTTAACAGTTTTTCTCCGTACTAGGGAAATAAATCAAATTAATCCCAACCCTTTGTTAAAATTTGATTACTTTGTTAGTTTAATAAATTAGGAATATGTTAGCAATTATGGAGTTACATACTTTTTTTTTTTTTTTGACAATTATGGAGTTACATACTTACATGTAGTGCTTGAGTTAGATTAAAATTGAAGATAATTAGGAATGTGTATATTAAAAAATGTCAATTATGATATTACATGTTGTGCTCGTTTAATGATATTATGACATTGTTTTGCTATTTATTGATTTATTTGTTTATTTTTGTGGATGCTTATTAGCTACTCCATAGATATGGTGAAATGGGAAATTTATGCTCATACATATGCAAAGGTTTTTTAAAGATTTTTTTTGGATAAATTTTTAAGATTAAATACTCTTTATTCATTTACGACTTATCAAAGTTAGTTACTTGCCACAATTTCAATTTGTCACACGTCTCTTCCCTAGAAAAATATGTCGGAGGGCAAATGCATACAACTAATGTATGAACTATCCGTCTTTCTTTTATAATAGATATATGGAGTACGTATGATGAAAAACCTGGATGTGAGTTGTAACTAATTTAATTGTCTTATATAAATTGAAGAAAAAATAAAGAATAATTGACTTTAGAATGGAATCTCATTAAGCTTCTATGAGGTAAATTCTCTTCCTAAAAGAGCTTGTATTTGGCTCAATAAAAAATTACTCATATTAGTAGCAATATCGGGTACAAATGTGCAATGCATTCACTGATATTGGCTAGTACTATTTTGTATCCTGAAAACTATAATACACTCATTTTGCCCTCACTAGGAACAAAATATTTATTTCATAGAAATTTTCGCAACATATGCTGCAAATGTACGGAATTGTGTGGATCTTTATATGTTACATTATAACCAAATACAAGTAATTTTAACAAAAGAAGATTTCCTTCCTTTAGTCCATTGTTTTTGGTCGACATGGTCGTATAGGAGGTAGTTTTCTTCTTCAATCCCCCCTTCGCCAAGTTAACGTAATTGATCACATATTAAAGGACATGTGGAACTAAGATTTAAACTTTCAACCGCTTAAATTAAGCATTCACGATTGTCATAACAAAGGTTTTTTTATAGGGGGGGCAACTCAGGTATGCCTCAATGCCCATTCATAAGAGATCCATTCTTGCATGTAATTAATTGTCATAAATGAATTAAGTTTTTGTTATAACGAAAATCAAATCAACTTAAAACTAGATGGTTTAAGTCGTATTGTCCGATATTTGTAATCAAATTCTGTTTATATCATTTACTATATATAGCTCTTTCTCGATACTTCCGTAAAAGTGCACGATTTCTCCACTAGGTCCACGTATATGAATTATGAACACAAGTTATTCTCCTAGGAGGAAGGGGAACATAATGTTTGGTTAAACTAAGCTATATAGGGTTAGTTACACTTATATTGTATGACATATAATTTGGTAAAATAATTAGGAGCACTAGATAGTGTTATAAGATTAGATATAGTCATATAGATAGGGATGTAACGGCAAAAAATAATGGGGTCGCCAAACAGCTATGAAATGAATTATGATTTATAAATAATGGTCATAATTCTCTAGATGTGATATAAGATTCCTGTGGACATTATGCATGTTTTCCGTTGGGATATTTAGGAGAAAGATGACCCAATTTTTGCATTATTTTTTTTTCGGTTTTTATAGCCACTATTTCTGATATTACATTCATTTTCTATTATTTAATAAAATCATTATTGTATATTTGTATTATTATTGCTACACAAGAGTTGGTGGATTGATGCAAATATGTTTACTCACCTAGGATTATGATGTTTTGTTGTTTTAGTCTATTTTATAATGATGGTTGGAACATGATTTATGAAGATTTTATTTATTCATATGATTTGCATGTGTTGTCCAAATAAGAAAGTTTTTTTTTTTTTTTTTTAATTTTATATTTTATTTTTTTTAAGAAAGAAAAGAAAAGAGAGAACTTAACTAACTTTTTTTAGGAACATAAGCGCAACTACTTAAGTATCTGGGTGTACCAAGAACATAACAGACATGCTCAGAAATAAACTAAAGCCATAGTAATATTAAGTTATTAACCCAATTTATTCATCTTTAAATGTACAATTTTCTTGTTTCATACAAGATATACTCAATCCTAAGCATATGATTAATGCTAGGCACGATTCGGACTGTTTAGGCACGCACACATGTGTTGTACCGGATTTCCTTATGCTCATAAATTCATGTCATGGTAAAATCTTGTTTTTCTTTCATAAACAAAGCCCATGCATGAACCAAATTAAACCACATGTGTGTTGTGCAGTGTTGAGTCATGCCATTGAGACCCTTTTTATCCGTTCAGTATTTTGGTATAGTACAAATAAGCGGGTCAATCCACTACTGTCTTCATGAAGAGCTCATGCCAAATTTTGAAAATAATGTCCATACTCAACATGTGTATGAGTCTGACCATTATAATGTCGGCTCGGCCAAGGCCAACCCTTCACACAATAATAGAAATGTCATTTCAATCAACAAGAAAAATCTAAGTGGTGGTTAACAATTCCTATATTATGTATATCCAACAAAATAGATGAGATTTAACAAAATTGTTTAACTAAGATGAGCTTGTGGCCTTGTTGTGGGTCACTTTAGTTGATGTTGGAATTGTATGATATGCCCTACCTGTAAAGCTAGAAGCACTAACATTTCCTTACAAAAGTGGTCCTTTCACACACTCTTCACATACCCAATTTGATTGTTTGATCATGTGCTTCAACTTCTAGAGGTCCACTTCTCTCATTTTCCATTGCTTTGTCCCATCATTAGCCCTTCTTAATTATACTATTGTTCCTTACATTATAGTATTATACCATAATTCTACTATTATTTGTTTATCAACCAACCTACCGTGTGTTATCACTCATTTTCGCCACTTGGGCATGCATCTACAGGTAACCATTCATCATGTTCCATATTCGGGCTTGTTCTCATACGATTATTTTTAGTTCAGTTCAGATCTAATAAATTCAGTTCATCTCTTAATTTCCTTCTCTTATAAAATATTTATTTTATTTCAGTTCAGTTCAGCTCTAATAAGTTAGTTCAGTTCAGTTTAGTTCAGCTCATTTCAGTCAATGAGAACAGATCCTTCGTCGCCCAATTTTTCTAAAACTTTGTGCAATACATAGTATTACGATTATTACAAAATAAAGGAAATAATAAGTTTCTAAGGCATGAATGCACTGTGGAAAGATGGTACAACCATGTACAACCACACATAGTTGCCTTAGATAATCATATGGTACATTGTACGAAATTAATCATCAACAAAAATTTTAGTCTTCAATCTAAAGTCGTTTTCATACGGAGGGTTTGGTGTGGTATACTGGAATTTGCGACTTCAAGTCTTAACTTCTTCAATCTTGAATCTTATGCCTTGACCAATGTACTTATTAAAATGCGCAATTTAGTCCTTTATTAATTTATATATGAAGATGATTTGAATACAAGAATTTAAGTTCATAACGTCTATATTATTGAATCTTTATTTATCTCCTAAAATTAAATTCCGACGACCCTAATTGTAAAGGTTTGACTGTTCAACACAAATTAATATGGTCTAACCACTATGTAATTATAATCATTTTATCGTGCCAAATAAATAATACAAAGGGATATGAGTATCTCACAAGGTGGAGGATTAAAGCCTATTACACTAGGTCATACAAAGTATAATTGTATGTATAAAAGATCGAAAAAAATTGGGTAAATTGTCGGACTCACGATGAGTCCAATATATCTAACAATAATAATCTAGTATTTGATAATAATTCCCACAAATTTGGTTGAGGAATTCACGAAAGAAATTCCCACGAATTTGGTTGAGGAATTTTATTCCCATGTATTAGAAGTTCATGGGAATTTTCACTTCTTATGTTAACCAAACGACCAACTATATTAAAGACTTGTTTGGTTTGGTGCGTGGTATGGGTTTGGAATTATGATATGACTTGAAAGTTAAGTCATGTAATCAATCTCAATAAGGAATTTTAAGGGGTTGCAATTTACTTACTATTTTCCCACACTTTCATTGAGTCTAACCAGCAAGTAAGGGTCTGTTCTGATTCACTGAATTAGGCTGAACTGAACTGAATTAGGCTGAACTGAACTGAACTAATCTGAACTGAATTGAATATTTTATGGCAGAAGGAAATTAGGAACTGAATTAAACTAAACTGACTGAATTGAACTGAACTGAACTGAACTGATTGGAGCTGAACTGAACTGAGTTGAATTAAACTAAATTAAAAATAAGCTGAAGAGAATAAGCCCTAAGTGTGATTTTTCATCAATAATGACTATTCTTGCAACCATGAGATAAGGTTCCATTGTTACGGATACTTTTTAATCAAAAAACGGTTTCATTATGAAAAATTATGGTAAACAACCAAATCAACAATCATGTGTTTAGTAACAAACACTAATGTAATACGAAGTATAAACAATCTATATAATGTATGCATCAACAACCGTATATATGGTAAGTATAATGAATAATTGAAACAAATTATTCCCGGTTATTTAGAGCTCCTTTGGTAGGCTTGTTATGATTCCAAACCAATTAAGAGAACACTATGT